TGGCCGCAACTGCCGCCCGCTCCGCCCCGTCCGGCCCCTACACCTCCCCTTCCCAGCCCCGCCCGCCCGGCTTCGGACGAGCCCGGCGCGGCCCCTCCTTCCGCAGCGCCCCGGCCCCCGCACGTCTTCGGCCGCTGGGCACCGCCGTAGAGCGGGAGGGAGTGCCCTGCGCCACGACCGCGGGGTCCTCGAGGGTACCCGAGGAGGCGGCCGAAGTGCCAGGGGAGGGCTCTGCCACGCCCGAGCTGGGGGGAACGAGCATCCGGGGAGCCACGGGCACTGGAAGGATGCAGGAAGGTCTGGGAACCGCGGGGCGCAGAGCCGCGGGGAGGGCAGCGCGGTGGGCGCGAAGGTCCTCGCTCTCCGTCCCTAGAGTCCGACTCCAGAATCAAGGTCCTGCCAGCGCGCGAAACGGGCGACGCGGCCCACTTTGGGGAGTCGTGGGCAGTTAGAGGCTGTCCCCGTCCTTCGCCTCGCCTCCGTCCCCCCAGCACACCAGCGACGACCCGGAGCGTGCTCCAACTCGGCAGCGGAAAAGTTTGGTGCGGGGAGCGAGACTCACCAGCGCCGTTGCGGGAGCGAGGCGGGGCTCGGGAGGCCCGAGGGTGCCTGGTGTCGGGAAAGGGGCTCGGCAGCCCTCCGACGGGCTCCGCGGCTGGAGACGGACGGCCGCCGGACGCGGCACCGCAGCTCGGCCCGGCCCAGCTCCCGGCTGGGGCCGCCCCCTCCAGGGTTAGCCCGCCGGRCTGCGGCCAGGGGAGGGGGCGGAGCCGCAGGAGGGAGGGGAGGCGTCCGAGCGGGGCGCGGGGCACCGAATTCCTGGTGCGGGGGCCTCCGGCGGGACGCGGTCATGGCACCTCTGCGTTCCCACCTCCTCCGCGACCCCTCGCAGTGCTGCGCAGGTTAGGGGCGGGCCGAGACCCTGGGGTGCCAAGAGGTTCCTTCTTGGATTGAGACCCCTTTCTCCCGAGGGGAAGACCCAACCCTTAGCTCTACTGTGGACCTCCATCCACTGCCCCAAAGCCAAATGTATCCCACACCTTTGGTGCAGCGAAAATGAACATAGGAAAGATTTTCTTACAAAAGTAATCTTTCTGGCCCTCTCAGAACTGCCTCTACGCCTTCCTCCAGAGCCTTGGATCCTCCAGAGGCCCTAAACCCATTATTACTCGCTATTGCAGAGTAAATCCGTTTCTATATCCATGGAGATAACGACCTTAGGGCAGTGTATCCATACTTCAGTCTGGAAAAACTTGCAGCATTTTATAGTTGTCTGGGGCCTAAGGAATAATGTTATTTTTTCAATAATTACTTTCAAAGGGGGGGCTATAAATACTTGAGTGTTGGTTAGGGATTATTAGGTGTGAGGCTATAAATATGTACCTTGCAAGAAAAACTCAAGTATTAGCAAAGACATGTCTATAATTGGCCTTACAAATAAAAAAGCTTTAATAAATATTAGAAATAATCCCCTCATTTAGCCTATGCTTTCAATGTAATCATTCCCATGTACTCCAACCCAAGCCATAAGACTGAAGGTGCTAGCTTAGCAATATTCCTAATTACCTGTCAAGTGGACCCTGCCCAGCTACTTGGTGGTGTTCCTAGGGAAGAGCCACTCTCTCCTGACACTCGGGTCTTTCCTTCCCTGTACTGCTGCTTGAACTGGTGGGCCCCTCAAGTTAAACTTTGGCTAAGTATTTGGTTCTAAATCCCAATTGTTTCCTGCAACATCTGAGCCTTCTTCAGCCCCAAGTTCATTTTTTGTTGTTCTGTTCAGTCCTCTAAACTCAAGTTACTATGGATTAGTGTTTTCTAGAATTTTCAGTATTGTGGGGTGGAGAGAAGGGAAGATTAAAAAAGGAATGGGGCCAGGTGAGGTAGCTCTCCCTCTTAATCCCAGCGACTCTGGAGGCTGAAGCAGGAGGATTGTGAGTTCAAAGCCTCAGCAAAAAAAAAAGTGAAGCGCTAAGTACTCAGTGAGACCCTGTCTCTAAATAAAATACAAAATAGGGCTGGGGATGTGACTCAGTAGTTGAGTGCTCCTGAGTTTAATCCCTGGTAACCAAAAGGGGGGGGGATTTTTGAGCAATGGTTATCTTCATTATTTTGGTTGTATGGTAATTTTGTGGGACGCACACACACACATATAAAACAACATGTCAAATTGTATACTTTAAATACACGGAACTTATGTATGTCAATTATACCCCAATAAAGCTGTAAAAATTTAAAAGAAAGTTAGCCTCACCTTGATTCTTAGTGATTTCATAAAGGAAGAATCTCCTTTAAAAATAATTTGAGGTTGGAGACAGGAGTGTAGCTCAGTGGTCGTATTTGTCCTTAGCATGCCCTAGTTTCAATCCCTAGCCCCACACACATACACACACGTTAATCTGAGGTTATAAATTCTAGCCATCCTACAGGACAACACAAAACTGGGGACCTGAACCTCATCCTCCGTGCAAGCTCTATTAAGACAAAACCCATTTATGTGCTGTTCATTCTCTGTCCCCAGGACTGAGCATATAGGAGACGCCTTGGATATCTGTTTTATAAATTAATGGGAGGGAAACTGCCAATCAAGACCAAGTTCCAGATTAAGAACATTCAAAAACATAGTCTGCACCTCATCCTGGTTTGGTGGCCCACCAGGCTCCACCTACTCTCACCCACACACTCCTATCTAAAGCAGGGAGAAGGAGGGGAGTGGAAGGGAGAATCATAAGTCCCTACTAAAGTCTTATTAAACAGGAAGGGACATTAGGGTTATAGTTACTTTGGGGGAAAAAAGGTTGATTTATGAAATCAAGGAAAACTTCAGGGTTTGGAGGTGGGAATAACACTTCATAGGATTGTATAGAAGGAGACTATTTCAGAAAACCAGGGACTGGGGAGGGTTCCACTCCTGTTAACAATATCACTCACCACTTCTGTAGCCCAGCCATTCTGGGATAAGCTTCCAGAAGCCCTGGAGGGAGCCAAAGACCTGGCTTCCATTACCAGAGCTGTTTCCTGACTCATACTGAACTTAGCCAAATGCTCTCCCACTCTCTGGATCCTTCTCTCTGCAGTTTCTTCATTCTTCCCACCCAGAGACCCCATATATAATGAGGACTTAACAGTTCTTTGATACACTTTGGTAACTCTAAGAGAAGGAAGGAAAAGAGAAGCTCTGTTCCCCTTAAATGACTCCGGCTCTTTTGATGCTCCTCCTTGGGCAGCTGCACCCCTTCTCCCTACATCTCCATCAGTCCCTCCTCTTTCCATTCTCCCTCTGCCTTAAAGCAATCCTATGCTCATTCACATAAACTCTAAAACTGATCTGCGCCTTCTCTAGGATCTGATCTACACATTTCAGATGTTTTCCCCCCTCAGCCAGTCTCTGCAGCCCTTGTGTAGCCCCCCCCTCCCGTTGCCACAGAAACGCCTCTCCCCACTCTTCCCTCAGTCCAGTGTCTTTACTGCCAAACCGCTGCTGTCTGACCCAGGGTAACCCAGCAGAGGGCGGGCTTGAGAGATGGAATGGGGAGGGATCCTGGTGTTAGCCACCAAACCAGGATTCCAAATTTTGCAAGAACTCAATCTCACCTAGCAGCCTGGCTGGAGGAGGGGAAGGAAGGAGTGGATACTGGGGGAAGTGGCTGAGAGATAGTCTTTCAATCCCAGAACAGAACCAAAAAGAAGCTGCCTGGGACAAAGAAGAGTGATCACTTGAGGCCATATGTATCAAACCTAGATACATTGTTTAATACATGATAGGATATTTTAAATTGAACATCTTAAAAGAAAATACAGTTCTCTTGACCTCTCTTTTTTTAAAAAAGACTGTGGATTGGGGCTGGGGATGTGGCTCAAGTGGTAGCACGCTCGCCTGGCATGTGTGCGGCCCGGGTTCGATCCTCAGCACCACATACAAACAAAGATTTGTGTCCGCCGAAAACTAAAAAAATAAATAAATAAATATTAAAAAATTCTCTCTCACTCTCTCTTTAAAAAAAAAAAATGTGGATTAAGCAGGGCACAGTGGTGCAGGTCTGTAATCTCAGCTACTCAAGAGGCTAAGGCAGGAGGTGTTACAAATTCAAGGCCAATCATGGCACCTTAATGAATCTCAAAAATCAAAAAGGTCTTGCTGGGCATGGTGGCACACACCTGTAATCACAGTGTCTTGGGAGGCAGGAAGATTGCAAGTTCAAAGCTGGTCTCAACAATCTGGCAAGGCCCCAAGAACTCAGTGAGACCCTGTTTCTAAAAGTAAAAAAAGGCAGGGTGGGGGGTGGGCTAGAGATATGGCTCAGTGGTTGAGAGCCCTGATTCAATCCCTGGTTCAAAAACAAAAAAAGGCCTGGGGTATAGCTCTGTGGTAGAGTACCCTGGTTAAGCCCTCAGTAGTTCACTTACACACACACACACACACACACACACACACACATCAAAACAAACTACTATAAACTATTACATAAATAGTGGACACATGCCATTACAAATTTGTCTAAACCCATAATATATGCGACACCAAAATTGAATTCTAATGTATTACCCCTGATGGATTCTGGCTTATAATGTGTCAATGTAGGCTCATTACTTATAACAAATATGCCACTCTAGTAAGGGATATTGACCATGTACATAGACTCTATATACATGTGGGACAGGGTACATATAGGAAATCTCTGTACATTCTGCTCAGTTTTGCCATGAACCTAAAAATGCTCTAAATATAAAGTCTGCTTTTAAAACTTGTTTTTAAAGGACAGAGGAATGAACAAGATTTCATCCCCCACCCCTTTAGACAGATAAAAAACAATGACACCCAGCGTCATCCCGCCTCCTGCTTTATTTTCCATAGATACCCCTGGTTTCCACCCACACCTCTTGTTTCATCCTTGCTGATTCCAGGATCCATATTTTCAGGTCTGGGGGTCCATACGTCAGGAGAAGCCCCACCTGCACCACTCCTAATGGCCAACCCCCCCACCCACCACAGCTTGATGGAGTCTCTGTAAACCAAGGATGCTCTTATTCCCTGAAAGAAGAAATTCAAGAATGAAATACACACACCTCCATGTCCTCGTCTCCTCCTCCCCATGTCAACATGCTAAAGGGAACCCTTATCTTTCTGGCTGAAGGAGAAGGTCACCTTCATAGAGGTGGGGAGATGATAAGGGAATAACTGCTCTTTGAATGAAGGAGAAATTCTGGAATTTGTAGAGTCCTGCCCTAAACTTGACACCACTATTCCACTTTCGGTCCTTCACTGGCATCTCCATACCCCAGACCTTAGGAGAATCACCCAAGTTCTCTTTTCCATCTCCATTTCATAAGTCTGCCCCACACTCCACCTGCTCAGATTCCTGTCTCCATCCAGTGATTTCCCACACTGTCTCCCTCAAGTGACCTTAACTCACATGCTCTATGCTTCATAGAACTCTGCAGTGTCAGTCACCACAGGGGTAAAAGGAGACTCACCAATTCCTTTCCATAAGCCTCCTTTCCCAGTTCATTTTTCCCAAGCTACATCCCTCTTCATCCTCAATCCACAACTCACAACAAAGAAATCCCATTCTCTCTGAGGGCACATAACAAGGCTGCCTCACTCCTCCTGTATGCTGATGATTCGAAGTAGGATAGTGTACACATCCTGTTCCATGTAGCCCTGTAGGCAGCAGGAAAGACACAATGGAGATGGAGAACAGACATCAGAGACACAGGTAAAGGAGGTGTTCTGTGGAATTTGTGGACAGTGGAATGCCATTTACTGGTTATCTTCACTTATAACTTTATCTTTTAAAGTAGTCAACTTTTCCATGGTTGTCTCCTGCCTTCGTGGGAAGATACTGATGTCTATTTTCAGGATTGCTGTGAGGGTTACAACTATGAATGTGAAGCAAGGCACCTGCTACACATTCTACAATGTTCCACTCTTCATAGTTATTATTCCTCATAAAGGAACAAGCCACCTAGCTTTTCTTACTTAATTAGGGTTAAGTAGCCTCAGGAGGAAACTGAATAGGGGTATCAGGGACAGGAAAAGGCTCTACAATGGATCAGGCAATTGAAAAGGGGTTGCAGGGGCTGGGGTCGTGGCTCAGAGGTAGATCACTCAGAGGTAGGCACTGGGTTTGATCCTCAGCACCACAGAAAAATGGGTAAATAAAAGAAAGGTATAAAAAATGTTATATCTGTTTAAAAACTTTTTTTAAAAAAATGAGACACAAATTTCTCTTTTCCTTTCACATTCATGAACAATCTCTTTTTTAAAAAAAATTAGTTGTACATGGACACAATACCTTTATCTTATTTATTGATTTTTATATGGTGCTGAGGGTCCAACCCAGAGCCTCACACATGCCAGGCAAGCACTCTACCACTGAGCCACAATCCCAGCCCCACAAACAACCTTTATTGATCTGCCTAATGAGATCCAGAGATCTGGCAATGGATCCAGCTCTCTGAGAAACAGCAAAACTGTACAGGAACCAGAAGAGACCTCAAATGCAACATTCCCTACCAGCTTTGTGTCTGCCTCCCTCAAAACTCTACCATGCTCACCCGAGCAGCATTCAGCAGATGATTCCTGTAGGTGGAGATGACCTCTTCATGGTTTTTCTGGGAATCCTGGAAATGAGTATCAATGGGAAGTCATGTGCCCACCCTCTCAACACTCACCCAAGCCTAAGGAACAATAAAGGAAAACGATCCCCTTTACTAGGTTAGCTCAGTCTGGACCACTGCCTGGCTAGGCCTCTGCAGCTCTTAGAATCTGTCTCCCATATACCCATCACTTCCACTGTCCACCCTCTTCTCCAGCAATATCCATTTTCCTGAGGGTCAAAACATACCTGCAACTGTAAGACAAGGCGAGTATTTTCACCCCGAACTGCAAGAACCTCCTCTGAACGCTGCTCCAACTTCTTCAACAACTCCTTGATCTGAGGCCAAAAGGAAAGATAGGGAACCAGTAAGGACCAATTCATTCCTCTCCTCCTACCCCAAATCCCACCGAGGAAAAGATCACCTCCTTTTATTGGATATTTAATATGTGTCAGATACTTTTACACACATTGTCTCATTTATACCCAATACAACCTTTCTTCTGAAAAGAATAATACTTCAGAGGTAAATATTATTATCTACATTTTGTAGATAAGGAGGTTGAGTTTAGTAGTTTGTCAAAATCATACAGCTAATAAGTGATAAAATCATGATTCGCATCAATATCTCTTTGATTCCATAGTTCATGTTCTTAACTCAGTACTGGATCCTAACCCACTTTGGCTATTGACACTTGATGAAAGTGAAGATGAGTCCTTTGTGTCTCAGGAGGTAGAGACACAAATGCAGTTAATAGTAACCAGCAGTAATAGGCATGGTGATAGTAGGAATAGTAATAACCACTCTTTATTGAGTACTTACCATGTGCCAAAAATCATTCTGAGCATTTTAGATAAATACTTTATTTAATGTACTCCTCACAATTACACTGTTATGAAGCTCATTTGGTAGAGGAGAACACTGGGGCTTAGAGATGTTAAATAATCTGTCTACGATCAGACAACTATAAGGAGAGTTTTTTGTTTGTTTGCTGTTCTAGGGGTTGAACTCGCGGCCTTGTTCATGCTAGGCAAGTGCTCTACCACCGATCTACAACCCCAGCCTGAGTTTTGAAACTGAAATTCAATCCAGACAATCTCAGTCTAGAGAGTCTTAACTACCATTGAACCATGTCCCCAGCCCTATTTTGTATTTTATTTAGAGTCAGGGTCTCACTGAGTTGCTTAGGCCTTGTTTTTGCTGAGGCTGGCTTTGAACTCCAGATCCTCCATTCTCAGCCTCCCAGCCATTGGGATTACAGGCATCCATCGTGCCTGGTTCCCCAGTCCTTTTTTTTTTTTTTTTTTAGTTGTCAATGGACCTTTATATGTGGTGCTGAGAATCAAACCCAGTGCCTCTCACATGGTAGGCAAGAGCTTTACACTAAGTACAACCCCGGCCCTCCCCAGTCCTTTTCATTGTTTATTTTGAAACAGAGTCTCACTAAATTGGTGCTGGGGGGGGGGGGCTTGCAATCCTCCGTACTCAGCCTCCCAGGTCGCTGGGATTACAGGAATGTGCCACCGCAACCCAATTTGTGAAACCATTTTGAAGTGGGAGGGAAGAACAAAGCTGAGGAAAACCTCAGCAAGCCATTAAACTATAAGGCTTCTTCCCAAGTCAATACACCATTTAAGTCAAAATGCAAATAATCCTAAATCAATACACCATTTAAATCAAAATGCAAATAATCCGAGACAATGCACACGAGATCCCCTGAGCACAGTGTTTCAGAACCCTGAGTCCTAAATTTGAGTACTAACCCACTTCTGTCTTTGTATCTACCTTTCCTCACCTCCAATTTCAACTCCAACCCCCTTAGTCCCGGGAAAGCATAATGTGGACCATGCAAAGGATCAGTGCTATGTTGGGGCTTCAATCTGACCAAAGGCTTAATCTGGATTCAGATTAGCAAAACCCGGGACTCACGGAAACTTTCCCCGACGCACTCTGGTGCCCCCTGCTCACCTTGGCCTCCTTGTCCCGGCAAGCCCCAGTGAGATGCTCCACCTTCTCTTTCAGCTGCTCAACTGTTTCCTCCAGCTGCTCTGCACGCGCGCGCGCCTCGCTGGCCTGGCCCTCCTGCTCAGAGGCCCGGGCCGCCAGGTCCTGGCTCCGGCGACGTTCCTCCGCCGAGGCCTCGCGCAGGCGACCCATCTCGCGGCAGGCTGTGTTATACTTCTCCAGGACAGCCTTCAGCTCCTGGCCCCAAGCCTGGGCCTGGGCCACCAGCGAACCCCGAGTCTTCTCGTGCTGCCTCAGGCTGGCCGCCTCCCGGGCCCGCAGCTCAGCCACCTCCTCCGTGGCTTGGTACAGCAGCTGCTTCAGCTTCCCTATCTCCTGGCTCTTCCCGCTCATCGTGGCCTGAACCGCCCTTAGTTCCTCCTCCAACTTCCCCAAATCCTGCTCCAGAGCGGCCACTTGGGGGGATACGGGGACCTGGGAGAGGGCGCCCAGCTCTCTACTGGGGGTCAGGGATCCCCGCAACTGCTGGTTTTCTGCCTCCAGCCGAGCCAGCTTGTGCTGGGCCTGGCGGTGCCTCTCCGCCAGGGTGCCGACGCAGACCTGCAGCTCCTCCAGGGGCTCCGAGGCTCTGCTCCGGGCACTCCCCTTGCCCACCAGGTCCGGGGGCAGGCAGTCCCACAGACCCCGGAGGCCGCTTCTCTGGGAGGCCAGGTGCTTGCGCAGCTTCTCCGTGGCCTCCTTCTCCATGGCCAGTTCATCCATCAGCAGCCCTACACTCCGCCGCAACTGCTGCAGCTGGACCTGCGCCTCGGGCTTAGGTACAAACTCCCGCTGCAGCCGCTGACTCAGGGACTGCAGCTCGCCCTGCAGGCGCTGCCGCTCGCGTCCCAGCTCCCCCAGCTCCTCCAGCAGGCTGCTGTTGCTCAGTCTCAGGGCCGACACCTCCTTCTCCAGCTGCGCCTTTGCCAGGCCGCCTCCTGGGGCCTGCTCTCCTCCAGAGTCCCCCAGAGGCTCTCTGCCGGCCCCGGGAGCCTTCGTCTCCTCGGGGTGCTCTGTGATGCACGCTGGGTCTGCCTTGGGGACACCCGTTCTGTCCTCCTGGGCAGGGGCCTCAGGTCTCACCTCTAGTCCCGCCTTGGCTCGGTCCAGCCTGACCAGCACCCTCTCCAGCCGCGCCTCCATTTTCTCCCAAGCAGCTGCTGCAGCCTCAGCGCGGGGAGTTCCCAGGGCTCCCTCCAGAATGGGCCTTGACAAAGCCCCTCGGGCTGCGTCCTTTTCTCGCCACACTGCAGCGAGCTCCTCCCTTAGTTGGAGCAGGAGTTGGTTCATGGCTGCAGTACCCACTGGTTCAACGCCTGGGGCCTGGAGTCTCTCTCTCTGGCCAGCACACAGCTGGTTAGTGTGATCAGGGCCAAGGATCTGTCCCTGACTGGTGGTCAGTTGCTGTCCTGTGGCTTTCCCAATGACCTCAGACATTGGGCTCTGGGCTGACCCCTGTTCTGGTTGAGACCTTCCACGGACTTCATTCTGGATCTCTTCTGGGGTTGACTCTTGAATCCTTTTGGGAGCTAATGGGTTTGCTGTGGCTGCTGCCTGCTGCTGCTTTAACTCTTGTATACACTCAGYCAGCAAGTCCAGGGGACGGCCCTGCTCCATACCATCCCCGGGCCAGAGAGTAGCGCTCTGTCCTCCTGAAACTCCAAGCTCTTGGGAGAGGAAACCTAACTCCTGCACCTGCTCTCTAATCTGGTTCTCCAGGCCCAAGTAGGCTGCTTCTTGAGCCTTACACTCTTCTGTCTTTCTCACCAGCTCCTGCTCCAACTGAGAAACTTTCCTCCGCTCCTCTTCATATTTCCATATCCATTCTTCTAAGCACGGGTCTTCATCCTCCTCTTCCTCCTGTTCCTCCTCAGACTCTGCTCTCCATGAGCTCTTAGGTGGAGAACCCACCTGGGTCTCAGATGGAGAGGCCTAGATCAAAAATAGAACAGTGAAGTGAAGCCCAGCAGCTCACCAGCCCCAGGAGGGCTCTCTTCTCCTAGAACATCTTGTCTTGATGCCCAAGGACATTTAGGGGAGGGTCCCAGTGGGATGACCTGGGGTGGGTCAGAAGCCAAAGGGAAGACATGTAGGGTCTTACCTGGGAGGCAAGATCTGGGTGTAGAACCAGCCCCTGACCTATAAGAAAAGACATGGGGCAAATGAGAGAGAAGAGAGCTGTAGGCTTCCATCCTGCACATATCTCAGACTTTCTCTGAAATGAGCGGCCCTGCAGTGTGATGACCCTTAGCACAGGTCTTCCCAGTGCCAGGAGCTACCTTGTTCATCAGGTCCCTAACTATCAGTAACTTTAGTTTCTGATCCCAGAGATAGAGCCACTCCTTCATTTTGTTCACTCATTTATTTATTGACCACTCTGCCAGGAACTGTTATAGGCAGTAGGACCTCAATGATGAGGAAAATAGAAGGGTTGACAGTCTAGTAGGAAAGAGGGATATTGATCAGCAAATCATACCAATGAATGTACAATTCCTGCATTAAGGAATTCATGACTGTGCTTTTAGGAACATGGGGTTATCTCACAGTAGTAGCAATAAATAAGTAAACTCTCAAAGTGGCAATTTGTTTTTCAGATGGATTACTTCCATGGGAACAAATAAGATACCAAGAAATTTCTTTGACTCTTTGGCTATTGAGCAGAATCTTGAAATCACAAAAGGGCTTTTACCTCCCTGCTGGCGCCGCTGCCAGGCCTGCCGCAGCAGCCCCCACAGTGCCTTGTCCTGAGTGTGCAGAGCATAATGCAGAGCATCATGCCCCGTTCTGTCCACTGCCCCTGCATCTGCTCCATGGCTCAGGAGCAGTTCAGCCACCTCAGCACTGCCCTTCTCACAGGCCAGGATCAGAGCAGATCTGTAGGGGAAGAGGAATCTGAGCATAGGCTTTCTCTGTGGAATCCAGGAGTCCTGGTTCCAGAAATCCCACTCCCAGGGTGAGCTATCAGTCAGGTAAGAACAAGATACCAACCTTAGCCAATGACGAAGCATTAGGTAAGGTCAGAACTTTTAAAATGTCATTTCTAGGAGCTACAGCATCAGAAAGCAAGGGGTCAACTCAAAGGGCTCCATTTTTAGCTGTTTTATATAGTATAAAGGTTCTGGATAAAATTTTTATTGGAAAAAAGGATCACATTTTTCAGAAGATAGCTTGAGAAGCAGTACATTAAACCAATAGCTCCAGAGGCATCCATTCCAGTTCTGGGATCATTTATGGGAGGAAGACGGTCATGGAAGCAGGCAGAGCTCTTCTAAACCATCACTAGGAAAGGAGATTCCCAAAGACAGAGAGCACACTGCCCTCTTCTTCTACAACACAGATGGACACACGCACACCTACTCACACACACTATGCCCATTGACTCCTTTCTAGATTCAGGGTCTAGAAATTGGCATGAGAAGCTGGGGAAGGCTCACTTGTCATCCTTGTCTGTGACATTAACTCGGGCACCTCTCTGTAGCAGCTGCGAGCAGATGGCTGCGTGACCACCCAGTGATGCAATCATCAGGGGTGTACGTCCATCCTGCACAGATGGTGGGAAGGGGGTTTATAAGGAACGAGGAAGAGTCATGGGCTCCACACAATCCTCCCAATGGCCCTCTCTCCCACCCCTTCAGGAAAAAGTCCAGGTCTCAGGGCTAAATACCCACTTTCAAAGAGTTAGAAGCCCTCCAGAAGATAAGGCTTTAACTTCTCTGTGAGGAAGAGGAGGAGAAATAGAAGGAGAAAGAATGTAGCAGAGTAGTAGTGTACAATATGGGTCATGGAATGTAACCAATCCAGCTCAGAAAGAAAAGCAGTCTCCCAGGCAGAACATTACCCACCTGCCATCTGATACTTACATTATCCAACACATCCAGGAAGGCTTCATGGTCACACAGCAGAAGCACACTTGAGGCACAGCCAGAGGAGGCTGCGGAAGGTGGAAGGATGATTGGGTTAAGGTGAAATATGAAGGACATCTACATAGAACATCACCCTACTTTCCCTCCAACCATTCCAGCAGTTGGCCCTGGCTGCCCTTCCCACCAAATGTCATCCTCTCCTCCCCTTTCCCGCCCTACAGTTCCTGCAACCCTGTTCCCACCAGTTCCCCAGCACACACCTGCCCAGTGTAAGGGACTACGGTTTTCTGCATCCACAGCATCTTCATTAGCACCATGCTGCAAATAGCCACAAAGGGAAGCAGCATGGAGCTTGGTGTTAACATCCTCATCCCACACCCTCTACTGGGCCACCAACTTCTATCTTAATATGGGGAAGGCAACTATTAGTCAAGCTCAGTGTATTCTTTTTTTTTTTTTTTWATATACCAGGAATTGAACCCAGGGACACATAACCACTGAGCCACATCCTCAGCCCTTTTTCTTTTTTATTTTGAGATAGGGCCTTGCTAAGATGCTAAGGCTGGCTTTGAACTTATGATTCTCCTGCCTTAGCCCCCCCCCCCAGTCATTGGTATTATATATATGTTTGGCAAGTCTATTCCTTTTGTGTGTTTGTGGCAGGGGGGTACTGGAGCTCAAACTCAGAAGTGCTCTACCATTAAGCTATACACCCCCAGTCATTTATTTACTTATTTATTTATTTCGGCAGTGCTGGGGATTTAACCCAAGGGTGCTCTACCACTTATCTACATCCCCAGCCCTTTTTATTTTATTTTGATACATGGTCTCAGTAAGATGCAGAAGCTGGCCTCACACTTGCAATCCTCCTGCCTCAGCCTCCTGAATTGCTGATACTACAGGTGAGCATCACCATGCCTGGCAAGCCCAGTATATTCCTTGCAGATTCCTTGGATTTTAAACCTAGTTCCTGAATACCAAGCCTAAGAAAAATTAGATGCTAGGTAATAAACATGCTAGGGAAAATGACACCCAAATTCATATTCATGGATGGTACTTAAGGATCATATCTGTGAGATTTGGAACAAGTTAAGAAGAACAAAAGCAAAGCAGCCATATGCTCAATGGTTGAGCCTTTTGTACTTTGGGGACTCACTTATAAATTGTCTGCATGTCATTTCACATGTGTATCTCTCTTTATACAACTGGATCATAAACTCCTCAAACACAGACAGTAGGACCTTGGCTTAATTTGAACATGACTGCCCTCCTTCCACCTGCCTGTCATTGTAGCAATTAGTTTCTGCAGTCTAGGCTGGCTTTGAACTTGCACCACCTCAAGGGAAGTATCAAGCTGGTATCTATTAAATAAAAGTCTGTGGATAAGTGATTATCAGTTCTCGTCCTGGGGCTGAGGGAGGTCAGTTTAGCTAACCATTTCTTGTAACTACAAAACAAAGTTAGGAGGCTCTGGGTCCATCTCTTCCCTTCATAGGAGTCATATTAAGACATGGCTCTTACCCGAAGCAGGACCTTGACACACTGTGGCTGGCAAGAGATGGTGGCCAAATGCAGGGCAGTGCTTCCTGGAAAAAGAAAGAGGGAGAGAAGAAGGTGGGTGGCCCCATACATGCAGATGACTCATAGGGAGGGAAGGAAGGGACGCACAGATAATCAGAGGGAGATTAGAGAGAGAAGCTCTCAGCCACATGGGGCCAGAAATTCCTGTTCCCCAAGCACTCTGTACCTATGATGAGGGCGAGAATGGGGGTGAGGTGTGCTCAGCTTCAGGGAGGGAGATGCCTGGAGGGATACTGGCTAAGGCTCACTGAGAAGAGAAGCAAGGGTCTACAGTTGGAACCTCCAGCAGGGACCAGCAATGGCCCCCACTGCTGCTATAAAAGGGACAAGCCAGCAGTATGGTCCCGTGCTCCCTCTAACTCACCATCCTCGTTCTTGCTGTTGATGTTAGCCCCATTTGCAAGAAGTATAGTCAGACACTCTGTCAGTCCTTTGGAGGCTGCCAGATGAAACCTGCAGAATCAAAGCCAAAGGCACAAGGATGAAAGGACCAGGAGTGAAGAGGGGGAGAATCTTAACAAACACTGCTTGCTATACTTCCTACCTCAAAGTCAATTCCAAAAGCAGAGAGGGAAGCTCCCCAGCCTGACTTCTTGAGAAAGACAAGGCCATATGGCTTTAGTCATAAAATCAGGAAGCTAGAGGCAAAGCTGGAACTAAGAACTATAGGTCTCAAGGAATCTCAAGCTATTGCAGGGGTATGCAGGGGACACATAGTGACAGGCCTCTCTGAGCACAGAACTCTTAGTGGAAATCAAAGCGTTACAGAAAGAATCTGCCAGAGCAGAGCAGAAGGCTGGACATTTGAAGCCATTTGGGGCAGCAACAAGGGGTGATATTTCCCTTATTCTAATCACTCCCTCGGGTCCTGTGACTCCCAWGGCTACCACTTCATTCCTAATTTCCCAAGGATACACACCCTCCTACTTGTGCAATGAAGAAACTACCTATTTAGCATATTAGTTTTCTGTTTGTTTAATGAGCTTCGTATCCTTCTCAAGTCAGTGTTGTCACTGTGGGTTGTGAGGTGGATGGAGCTCAGGAGTAATATCTTCTTCCCTCTCTTTGTGCTGCATTTGATACCAAAGGTTTATTGATATGCTTACTAATTATGACCACAAAAAGGGCTTTGAAGTTGTAGGCATTTCCTGGTCCTACATCATATTAGAGTTTGGGGCTTTCAAAAGGAACCATGTACTAGGGGTGGGATCAAGAGGACTTACTTACGGGGACTGGCCGTTTGAGTTTAGCTTGGTGGGTCGGGCAGACTTCTTGGAGGCCAGGGCAGCCACGCGTCCCACATCCCCTCTCTGTACCGCCTCCAGCAGTTTCTGATCACGACGGTTCCATCTCTCCACCTGGCCCAAAACCACAAATTGTGTGAACATGGAGGATGGGGATGGTGTGGAAAAAGATAGTTTTATGCCAACCAAGGCAAAAGAAAAATCTCCACAGTCCTTTCACTGTTTCACAACTCATTCAGCCTAGACCATTTGGTTCTTAGGTGGGCCAACTAAATACTAACCAACTCATATGCTACCAATAAGTATTGGCAGTACTGCCAGCCCTGAACCTAGAGGTCACTGGACCACTGACTGAATTAAAAATTATCTGTGGGGCTGGGGATGTGGCTCAAGTGGTAACGCACTGGCCTGGCATGTGCGGGGTGCTGGGTTCGTTCCTCAGCACCACATAAAAATAAGGATGTTGTGTCCACCAAAAACTGAAAAGTAAAAAAAAATTATCTGTGAGTGCTGAACATATTGTATTTCAAGTGTCTTCTTAGCTTTTTTCCCCCAATTATTTTATTTCTGTACTTGGGATTGAACCCAGGGATCTGTACCATTGAACTATATCCCCAATCCTTTTTTTTTTTTTTTTTTTTTTTTTTGAGCCAAGGTCTCTCTAAGTTGCTTAGGCTGGCTTTGAACTTGCACCACCTGCCTCAGCCTCCAGAGTAGTTGGGATTACAGGTGTGCCCCACCACACCTGTAAGAATCACTATGATTATTGTTGTTAGGTGCCTAGCCTCAGAGCAATGCTAGCGACGACTCCTTTCCTTTTTGGTCTCTAGGTCTTGGTGAAGAAAACTGCACCCACTTGACTACTTATGACTGGGAGCACACTACCTCTCACCTCTTCCTGCTATTCTGAATTTTGTCCTTAGTTGCTAGAGAAGTAAATCAAGGCACCTAGCATCACATCACAGCTAGGAGTCCAAAAAGCTAACAATACTATCTCTACCCATTGGCTTTAAGCCCCCAAATTGGGAGGGAAATCACAAGAGTTTCTATTTTCCTAACATAACTATTTATGCACTGTGGATAGTCTCTTTCCCTTCCATGGAAATAATAACCAAAAGGAAAAAACAGGGCCTTAGCTATTTTTGAGGAGACAGCAAGAGGAAGAGGCAGAAGACTCCCCTCCTCCTCCCTTTGAACCCTCCCAGGCTCCCCGGCAGGGAGCAGCTGTCCCAGGCAGCAGCCACACCTGAGCACGCATTGTTCTCCCATTGAGCTCGAGCTTTTCGGGTGGAGGAGTAATTACAGTCATTGAAGTGTCACAGGGAGCGAAAGGGAAAGACTATGTAAAAGCACCTCGGACTGAAAGCACAGAAAGCCTTGTTTGGTCTAGAAACAGGAAAGGAAAGGAAGAAGGGATGAAAATGCTATAAAGGGTCCCAAATGAATATCTTGTCAGCCAGACTGTTTGGGATCTGGTTCAGCTACATTCTTGGCTGCGTGACCTAGAGCAAACTATTAAACACCTCTAACCTGTTTCCTCGTCTATAAAATGTAGGAAATAATAACTACCTCATCATGTTGTGAGTATTAAATAAGGTAAAGTATATAAAATCTCTTTGTAAACTGTAGAGAGCCATATAAATGTATGGCATCCTTAAAATAAAACAGGAAGTAGTGAGAAAGTATTGGTAGCATATTGCATTTTATAAGGTACAACCTCTACAAGAAAGAGGTAACAGGAGGAGGTAAAGAAAAATAAGGTCCATAGAAGCCCAATAACACATCTTCAAATATTGTTTAAATAGCCAGGGCAAATTGTTAATCAACAACAGGAAAGATTTAGGTGTGCAAACCATAAAACTCTCTAGGGTAGATGAATTCAGAGGTCATACTCCTGTACAACACTCGTAACTCCTCATGGTCCTTTCAAGTGATATTTCAATTTCCAGGGGTATCTCAATATTCCTGGAAAATAGGGCTGATATTTGTTTTCATTTCATCTCTTTGACAGAAGAAGAATCAAAAGCACCATGAGGTCAGATAAATTTCCAGGATCACACAAAAGAGGGCTAAAATTGGGATTAAAACCCAGACTACCTAATGCCCAATCCTATTCTCACCACGAGACCATACTACTACTGAGCTATGGAAAAAGGTTCATTTGTTTCCAGAGAAGTTTAATTATTTCTCAGACTGGCTCCAAGGCAAGCCACCCACCCTCATATGCTATTCCTTTTATGGAGAAGAGTCTCCAAACAGGTCAATTCTCCAATGACAAAATAAGCAAAATGACTTCTCCACATAGACTCTCATGTAAGAATACATTTTCCAGTACCCCCTGGGGACCAGGACAAGCCTGGAAAACAGAGAACTGGTCCATGCCTTCACCACACAGGGCTGCCATCAGCTGACCTCCCCCTGAAGTTCTCTGTATTGATTCTAACACTTTCTGTCTTTGTGAATGTTAGGCACATAAGAACTTCTTTGAACCTCAGTTTTCTGATGATTTACGACATATAAAGCACCTTTCCAGGTACGTTGACACACGCCTGTAATCACAGCTACTCTTGAGGCAAAAGGATCACAAGTTTGATGCTAGCCTGTTTCAAAATTTAAAAAACAAAATTGGGGATGGGACATTGAACTCAGGGAGGCTTTACCTCTAAGCTACATCCCCATCTTTTTTTTCTTTCTTTTTTTTTTTTTTTTTTTTGAGTCAGGATCTCACTAAGTTTGCTTAGAGCCTTGCTAAATTGCTGAGGCTAAACTCAAACTTGAGATCCTCCTGACTCAGCCTCCAGAGTCATCGGATTATAGGTGTGTGCAACTGCCCCCAGCTCACAATTTAAAAAAAAAATTAAAGGACCGAGGATGTAACTAAATTTGCCCTTTTGTTCAAACCCCAGTACTGTCAAACAAAAAAAAAAAAACATATAAACCTTCTATCGCTGTGTCTGCCACATAGTAGGTTGACAATAAAAGTTAATTCCAATCCTCATCCTTCCTAGCTTTGCTGGACATAGAATTCTCCAGCTAGGGGAATGGAGGAGGGCATCTTGCTTATATCAGCCAAAGAATAGCCAGGCTATATAGATGGTAAAGGTGGTTTTGTTTGTTTTGGTTTTGTTTTTTTGTTTTTTAAAATTTTTTTATTTTTTGGAGAAAGGGTCTCCAGGCTGGCCTTGAACTTGGAATCCTCCTGCCTCAGCCTTCCAAGTTGCTGAGATTACAGGCATGTGACACTGTCCCTGGTGATAAAAGTGATAAAGGTGTATTTCCAGCAAGGTAGATACTTTCTTTCCAGTTAAATAGTGTTAAATATACTCAATTGACTTTTTTTCTGGGGGTACTAGGATTGCCTCATAGGTGCTGGGCAAGCAATCTACCACTAAACCACATCCTTAGTTCCAATTCACTTTCTAAAATCTCATTATACTAAGAGTCTAAAATGGGTGGAAATTCTTCATGTCTAAACCCCTGCAGAGCTGGAATAATAAAGGACAAAAGAAGGATGAGTCCATTGCTCACCTTAGCATCTTGGAAAGGAAACACTGGATTATCATCAACCCCAAGGGAACAATCACCAAATTAATCAGTAGACTAATAACAAGGAAAAGCTTTGTTATTTCTGTAGCTGAGATTAGGGGAAATTTTGTAGGAGTCACTGTACTCTCTCCTATCTCTGGCTGTGAACCTGTAAGCACCCTGTCAGGATGGAAGCACACCAATAGGTAGTATAAGAGAAAGAGAGTGGCTACTGCTGCAGAACAGGTGAATGGAAATGGAAAGACTGCCCGTAAGGAATCAGGACCTGCCTCTCAATATTTAAATGCAATAGAAATTCCTCTACTCTGATTCAGGATCAGCAGTTTAAAGTTATTCTCTGTTCTACTTCTTGGTCTGCTTCCTACCTAGGCAGAATAAGCTCAAATGTACGATACCCTCTATTTGACTACAATAAAATGAGACTACAGGAGATGGATTTTTGCTTGTTTGTTTTGCTTCCTATATAGGGGATAATATAAATTAATTTAAAGATGATCACAGGTTTTTCAGAACTTACCTCAGACTAAGAACACAGGGCTCTGCCCCTGGATTCAGGGGTTTGTATAAGTTGGGATAGGGAGGGGCAGACTTCAGGCAAGACTTGGAAAAGCCAGGCTTTTGGAGTGACCAGGAAGATTGTCACATCATTTCTCTGATAAATAGGTCTGGCATGGCTAGCTACCCAGAGGAGTGGAGGAAATTATGGGAAGTACGTGGAAGCTTTGTGAGGAAATAACGTGCTGCTGAAACTGACCTATTTTCAAAGCTTTCTGCAATCCCAGTCTAAGGAAAAAGTTTTCCTTCCAGTTAAATAGTTCTAAATTTCCCAATTTAGCTCCTATAATCTCATTGTACCAAGATCTTATTTTACTAAGAAGAGTTTAGAATGGGTTAGACATTTCTCACAGCCAAACCTCTGGAGAACTAGAGTCAAGAAGGAAAAAGGAATGGTTCTAAATCCCAAGTTCTGGACCATTACTCATTCTAGCACCTTGGAAAGGAGACACTGCCCAAGGATTGAAGAATCAGGAAGAATGCTGGGTTTCCCCATTCCYAAAGAAACAGCAAACTCCACAAACCAGAAAAGGGAAGGGCAATGTTGAGGACTTTGGTATCTAGGGAAGAGTCTACATGAATAAGAAAATCATTGTGAGTTAAGACAGAATTTGGATAGCCTCAGTTTCTGGTGCCTATAATCGCAAATGGTTTTTTTTTTTTTTTGTGGGGTTGTTTTTTTTTTGTTGTTTTTTTTTTTTTTGTATTGGAGATTGAATCTAGGGCCTCTCATAAGTAAGCACTCTACCACTAAGCTATATCTGCAGTTCTTTTGGTAACTACCTTTTGACTAGTTTATCAGTATGTGGAAACTTAGTGGAGAAGCAAATGCAAATGGGACAAGGACAGGCCTCAACAAAGTTCCTACTTTTGCCTCATAGCTTTCTTTCAGAATTCTGTGGTCTGCCCATGCAGAAAGAGTAAGCTAACTGAGCATTTCTCATATTTGCTTTTAAACGACATCACTAAATCAAGGTAACTATTATTATATTACTCCAAGTAGCTGGCTAATTCACTTCTGAATTATAACCCCAACCTCCACAAGAAAGTCCATCCCCAGATAGGGGGTCTTTCTGTAAGAGATCATTAGCAATCTCTTCTGAGCTACTACCTTCTGCAGTCTTCTTCCTTCTGCTTTGTTCTGGGGGAACACAGAATGACTTCTGTTGTGGATTCTCATGATGATCCACCCTAACCTCCTCCCTTCTCTCCTTTCAACATCACTTTCCTCAAATTCAATCAAAAGAAACGAAGAATACAAGACCTAAACAACTGGATGAGGGTTCAGAACAAAGGAAGAGTCTAGGGAGAAYCAGGAAGAAAGCTTTTGACTGACCCCAAGAATCAGTCTGATATCCAGACACTGCAGTGAACCAGCCAGGGTGGATTCTGCAGGCAACTCACCCAGTCCCTTGGGGAGCAGCCAGGCAACTGTGCGTCCTCTGGCAGTGCCTGTCAGGCTGGCTAGACTGCAAGATTAACCCACAAGTGAGCGGACGGAAGGCGGTCCAGGCAAAAAAGGGAGAAGTGGGACTGGGTGACCACTGGGCAAAATGGGAAAAGGGGGGGAACAGAGGCTGCTGTTGTGGGAGCACCAGTTGGAAAGAGGTTTGGAGTGATGTTTGAAGTTCAGTAGTGCTAATAAGAAAATGGCAGTGGAAGTGGCATGGGGTGGAATGAAGGCAAGGAGAGAGGAGACTGTGAAGAAGGGCTAGGAAAACACAACTTGTTGGGATGACAGAAAACACTAAGGATGGGCCACCTGGCAGGGCAGGAACATGAGAACTCGGAAGGGATGGACAGTGAAACTCTTGGATAAGAATTAGGGTGGTTGAATGAAGTCAAGGGCTGGGCAGGGACTGGATCAGATACTTGTGGGTGGTTTGATACTGAGAGACAGAGTAGAGGTAGAACTTGGGAAGGGGACAGGGCTGCAGAAGTTGGGGGTGTAGATGCTAGGAGGACAAGAAAGAGGCTAAGGAAAAGAACCTTGGGTACAAGGCAAGATGGAGGCTGGGGGACAGGTTATAAATGACCTCCACTAAGTTAAGTTAGCAAGGCCAGTGGGCTGCATTGCGGTTTGGGGGTCTCTGGAAAGATCCATGAAAGAGATAAGGAAAGGCGATGAAGCATGGAGATGGGATTCAGGACTACTGTCAACACAGGGCTTGGACCCCAGCCCTATACTCCCACACGTTTTGGGCACCTACCGCCACTTGTGAACTGGAGCAGGAGAAGATGCGCTTCATGGCCGGGGCCGGGGCCACAGAGGGGACGGGGACGCGTGGAGAGCCGGGCCACAGGTTCCCAAACCCACCGGACTCGGCTGCGGCGGCTCGAAAGACAGCTGTCAAAGAGCAGAGAGGGCCCCGCCTCAGGCCCCGCCCCGGCCCCCGCTCAATCGGAGGCCCGAAGTGGGAGGCTGGGTCGCCAGCCCCGCCCCGGCCCCGCCCCACGCCCCTGCGGAGGGAGAAAGCCCGCAGTCTCCGGCGGCCACAAGGGCCGGCCCTCCAGCCTCCCCGCTCGGTCTGAGCCCGCCCACTCCCCCGCTCCGACCTGCTCCATCCGAGAAGGAACCCCGCGGACAACGGCTGAAAGTCCCCTCGGGCCCCGCCCCCTCCGTTCCGGGAGGTGGCCCCGCCCCGGCCCCGCCCCGGCCCCGCCCCGAGTTCCCGCGCTACTGCAGCCGGCGCTCGGTGCGCGCTTCTCTGGATGGCCTTGGCTCTTGCCTCCTGCCTGCTTGAACCCTAGTGACGGCGCTTTATTAGATCCAAAGACCTTTGTCAGTTAGTCTGCTTCGCTCCCCCCCCAACTCCAGCCCCCAAGAGGATTTAAAGAGAGCAGTTTGACACAGGAGGAGGTGGTAGTGCTAAGCAGCGGACTGAGCACGGATAAAGTGGCCCACTGCACCTGGGTACAAGACCTGAGGGAAAGGGGATCACGCTCGATTTCAGAATTAGGAAAGGATAAGAAGAAATTTTTTATTTTTTAAGTATTCCCTTTCCGGAACAATTGTCTTCCCTATTTCCACTACCCTTCAATTCAGATTGCAGTAATTCTTGCTTGAACCATCAATCGGGCGCAACCACCTGGTCTTCCCAGCTCTCTTAACTCCCTCCTGTGGCTCCAGCGAACGCGCTGTGAAAACCTAAAGAACAACTGGGGACATGAGTCAGTGCTGGAGCTTGTCAGAGGCCCTGAGTTTGATCCCCACCACAGCGCCAAAGGAAACGTGTGTGTGTGTGTGTGTGTGTGTGTGTGGTCTGGGTAATGAACCCAGGGGCCCTGGACCACCAAGCTGCATCCCCCCTTCCCACTGTCTTTCTTTCTCTCTTAATTTTGGGACAGGGTCTAAGTTGCCAAGGCTGTCCCTGAACTTGTGATCTTCCTGCCTCAGCCTTCTATATCTCTGAGATTAGATTACAAATGCCCGCCACCAGACTCTCAAAGAGAAAAATTCTTAATGTGGTTTGAAAGCTCTTCCAAAGCAGGACTCTCTCTTCATCCTCAGTGTCTTCTCTCATTACTTTTACAAAAGAGCCCAAACTCAAACTGCTTTAATTTACTACAATTCACTTTGCAGCTGGCAATTAATCCTCCCCAAAATCCCCTCTCACGTTCAGTGAGGCCCCAGGTAAAGTTTCTGTTTTTGTCTTTTTTCAGTTAAGTTTTCCCTTAAAATCTTGCTACATTGTCCAACAAAGTATACCTCTTGTATGTAACATACTCCTACTACTTAATGGTATATTAAAGTACTCTATTAATTATAAAGAATAAGATATTGAAGATAAAGAATTAGATGAACCAATATTCAAAAAAATCTACTTTCCTTCGGAGGCTCATTGGGGGTTAAGACGTAAGGAAATCTGTTAACATAAGTAGACTTCAGTTCCAGTCCCAGACTCCATGAAGAYTGATCAAGTTAGAGCCAATAAGAAGTGCAGCTCCAGAGGGGCTGGGGCTGTGGCTCACCTAGCTTGTGTGAGGCACTGGGTTCGATCCTCAGCACCATATAAAAATAAAGATGTTGTGTCCATGTATAACTAAAAAATAAATATTAAAAAAAAGAAGAGAAGGGAGGGTCATCATGGACTATACTCTTACAAAATAACCCACAAATGCAGATGGTTTTCCTCCCTAAAAAGCCAGTTAGGCCACCTGATCTCTATAAGGCCATTAAATGCACATGTTCTTGGGGATACTAAAACTCTGGGTGTCTCAAGAGGAGTCTAGAAGACACCTAGACATATAAAGAAATAAAATAGATTTGATTTCTTTCTTTTTTGGTCCTGGGGATTGAATTCAGGAGCACTTAACCACAGAATCACATTCCCAGTCTTTTTAAATATTTTGTTTAGAGACAGGGCTTCACTAAGTTGCTTAGGGCCTCGATAAATTGCTGAGGCTGGCTTTGAACTCATGATCCTCCTGCACCAGACTCCCAAACTGCTAGGATTACAAGTATGTACCACCATACCTGGAATAGATTTGATTTCTACTATTAGAACCTTAGGCTAATCAGTTAACTATCACTTTTGAGGGCTCAGAAACATTTGAAAGGGGTGAGGCATAGAAAAGATTTAGTGGAAGAAGATAACAGCACATAGAAGAAACAAATCTTCAGGGTCTGGGAAAGAATCACCAGAACAGGAGTATCACTTGGTGCTTCAATATACTTTCTCACTAAATCCTCATAACACATGATAAAGTAGATTATTTTATAATGAAACTTTTTTTTCAGCACTGAGGATTGAATCCACAGATGTCTTACCACTGAGCTACATCCTCAATCCTTTAAAAAAATTTTTAAAATATTGAGACAGGGTCTTGCTAAATTGTGGAGGCTGCCTTTTAACTTACTATCCTCCTGTCTCAGATTCTGGAGTCATTGGGTTTACAAGTGAGAGCCATGGTGCCTGATATATAACAAAATATTTTTATCATTATAGTTACCATTTTTGAGCACTTACTATATGCTCACTTTTCTTGAACAATCTCACAACCCTAATACATTTAAAGGAGAGAAGTTAAACCTGTTCTAAGACAAACAGGTTTTAAGCAGTATAACCTGGATTTAAATCCAAAACTGTTTTCATTCCTAACCACTGTGCTACACAGACTTTTATTGTTATCTTAGCCTGAAGGAAGTTATAATTTGGTTAAGGCCCGAAGCTAATAAATAGCAGACCTGGGGTTTCACTCTATGCCTCCATGCTTTCCAAACCTACACACTTTAGACTCTATGGTCACTTAAGTAGGTGAGAATTTCAGGAGGCCAGAGCAGTCTCCAGTGAGAGAATCACAAAGAATATCCAGACTATTTCATAACTTTGCCTTCCAGGGACTCTACTATATATACAAGGTCTCAGGCAAACCAGTAATTTACTTTTCACTATTCCTGACAGTCTATATCCTAGGGAACTCAAATTGAGCCAGAAATCACCTGACACTGAACTTTATTTATTCTGACCACCTGATACATTGTCCACCCTGCTGGGAAACAATGTTCAGGAGGGTCCCTGTCTAAAGCAGACAAGAGACATGCCAAAATAAACAATGCACCTAGGACTCAATAACAGCCTGGGAGGACAGGTTTTGTGGCTGCTAGTCAACTGCCCAATCAGTTGTCTTCTTTCTTTTCAACTCTAAATGGGTGTTGATTCTTCAGTGGTTGTACTCTCAGACCAGTAACTGACTCTGGTATCCATAGCCTTGATTACAAAGAAACAAAAGTTTCCCAGTGTGTATGATAATCCAATTGCCTTTAATGGCCATGACCGAAATATGGGATGAGGGTGGGGTAGGTCAAAAATTTACTTGGGGATTTCCAGTAAACAGCAAACAAGGTCTGATAAACTGATTCCAACAGAGAAACCCTACAAAGTATGATTGGGGTTGCCCCAGAAACATTTTCCTAAGAGCTATTTGTGCTACACAACCGGTGCTGGGCAAGAAGGGGCTTGCTCCCTAGAGAACTCATGCCACCCTCTTTGACTTCTCAATGTACACCCTACTTGTTCGGAGCCCATGGGGCTGCTGCTTCCCAAAGCTGGTAAAGCAAAAGAGTTACCCACCATCCAGCAGTATTCTTCTCTTGGCTTTCTATGAGACTCCAAGGAGGGCTGAAGAGAGCAAGCAAGGTCAGAGAAGTAGAGAAAACAAAGCTTAACTACCTGGTCTTCTCTGCTATTCTAGTTTCAGCCACCTGGGGGCCCCTGGCTCCAGAAAAATCAGGCACCAGGTCCTGGCTTTGCTCCCAGGGAAGGGTTGGGAAGCCCATGCCCAGCAAGCCTGGGGGCAGCTCTGTTTCCCCAGCACCTGAGGGCTGGCCAGTGCACCACAGAGTCTCAGGTTTCAGGGGGGATGGCAGTTGCCTGTCTAAAGGCTTCTCTGTTCCTTGGAATTGTACAGAGTGTCTCTTGTGGCTTTTCCTCCTCCCTCCTTTTTTCCTGTTGACTCTCCCCATCAGGCTCTATGAATCACTAGACTCCACAGGAAAGCAGCAGATGTTGACTTTACATCTTGCAAGCCAATGCCAGCTCCCTCCTGTGGAGTGGGGAATAGGCAGGAAGGTGAGAGATTGGAGGAATGGAGGAAGATAACACTCATCCTTTCCAGGACAAAGGGTTCTGGAAGGAGAGAGACCTAGGCAAAAAATTCTTTTGTTTCTGGTGGTGATGGGTGGGAGGAACAGAGACCCCAGTATTGGCTGTGGAACTGGGATCATGAGGAATAGGGAAGCACAGGGTGGGAGTGTTGCTAGTTCTTGTGCCAGCCTTTTTTTTTTTTTTTGAGGTAAAGCTTCATCTCTTGCCAGCAACATTCTCAGGACTCAAAAGTCAAGTCAAGCTGCAGGTCTGGGGAGTTAGTTCAGAAGCATCTTCTTGTCCCCTCTGAGCCTCCAAACCTCTCCTCTGACGCAAGTCTCTTGAAGAAGCTGCCAGGGAGGACTTTCTAGAGCCTTATTTTACATTCATTGCTCCAGCTTCTCTCCTCTTTTTTCTTTCTCAGGGATTTTCTTACGTGCAAAGAAGCCAAGCTGTAGAGGAAAAGATAAGAGGCACTGCCAGATGCCCTTACTGGGGACCTTGCCAATAGCCCTCAGACTTATCTGAGGTTTTCACTTTTGCTCTGCTTCCAAAAACGGGATTCAATTTTATTTTAATTGGCTTAGTTTAATCCAACTAACATTTGTGGAGTACAGTGAAACCTACAGGCTGTTTAGCTGCCCAGTACAAATCCTATTCTCCCTGTTATAGTCTAGGATCCCTCAGCTGGTGGGCACCAGGTTCCCCACTCCCCACTAAGCAGTGCTTACCTTCCACAGACAGAAGACAAGGAGAGCAAGCAGGAGCAGCCCTCCCAGGGCACTGCCAATGAGGATCCACAGGGAGACGAGGACAGGGTGGATCTGAATCACCTCCAGGAGGCTCTATGTGAGGGGAAGAGTTGGTTTTTACATGTGCCCTTTAACCCCACCAGCCACCCCCACACACACATTATAACAATGCCAGCCTCAAAATAGAAAAAGGAGATTCTTTCTACTCAAAGGAGAAAAATTGAGATAGGAATGGAGGCAGTGGAACCCTAGAATCCTCATTTATCATTCCTGACTAAAAGGTCACAAGTATTCTATCCCACTGGGAACTGAACTCAGGGCCTGGGGCATGCGAAGCCAGCACTCTACCAATTGAGCTACATTCCCATCCCCCATCACCATTATTTTCAAATCTGTCAGACTCAGTCTCTAGTCTTACCTCACTCCAACGGGACGCTTCAGTTAGCTGTAGGACACTGCCTTCCTTAGTTCCCAGCTCAAAGGTACTGACCACTATCACAGACTTGAACTTGGCCTGTGGAACAAGTGGATGGGAAGGCATTTAAAGTGAGCCATCATCAGGTAGTGTGGTGCAAGAACAATGTCTAGCCTGAGTGGTACAACTACAGGGCCCTTGAGACCAGAAGAGGTGGAGGCCAATGGGAAAAGAGAGGAAGGGAAATAGATAGAAGCCTCTGGACCTTCAAATGTGCTATTTATCTGAAATGCATTCTACTCTCCTTTCATTTACCCCTCTGGGAATTAGGAAAGTGTTTCCTCCTAACTATGGTATTATGGTTTTGATAAATTTTGATATATCTCTCAACAAGTCTTCATGTGTTGAAATTCAATCCCTGTTGTGAGATTAAGAGGGAAGAAACTTTATCCATCTATGGTTTTTAGAAATGAGCCCTTTGGGATATGATTAAGATTAAAGTCATTAGGATGGAGCCCCTCTTGAATTGAATCTCAGTGGCTTTATAAAAAGAGAGACCAGATGACATGTTTGTATGCTCCTGCCATGACGTGACATAGCCAAGAGGGAGCTCACGAGAGCTGAGCACATGCCAGTCACATGTCCCTAAACCTAACATACCTGGTGTTTACTTTTTCCACTGAACTATAGGACCCTTGAGGTTAAGATTTGTGTTTCACTAACCATTGTGTCTCCAGTGCCTAGTGCCTACCACAGTGCCAAGTATGTAGCAGTTTCTTAATAAATCTTTGTTAAGAATAAATAAAAGAGTAAAAAAAAATATCAAAGAAGGATAAAGTGAGAACCAGACTTGGAGACATGTGGTTTGATAGACTTCCTCCAAACGTATACCTACATCCCTGGGATCTGGTATTATTCAAAGTAGGTGGTATATGGAAATATACAGGGGCTAGGGTTGTGGCTCAGTGGTAGAGCACTTGCCTTGCAAATGTGAGGCACTGGGTTCAATTCTCAGCACTGCATATATTTCTTTTTTTTTTATTTTTTTATTTTTTTTTTTAAGAGAGAGTGAGAGAGAGAGAGAGAGAGAGAGAGAGAGAATTTTTTTTTAATATTTATTTTTTAGTTTTCAGCAGACACAACATCTTTGTTTGTATGTGGTGCTGAGGATCGAACCAGGGCCGCACGCATGCCAGGCGAGCGCGCTACCACTTGAGCCACATCCCCAGCCCCTCAGCACTGCATATAAATAAATGAATAAAATAAAGGTCTGTCAACAACTAAATAAATAAATAAATAAAATATACAATATAAAAAACTTCTAGTGCTACATAGCTATTTATAATTAAGATGTCATTTCTGGGGCATGGGGTTGTGGCTCAGTGGTAGAGAACTCGCCTCACACATGTGACACTATGGGTTTGTTTGATCCTTAGCACCACGTATAAATAAATAAATAAAGGTATTGTGTCAACTACAACATATACATATATATATATATATATATATATATATATATATATACACACAATCTTACTTCCCTCACTACCCCCCAAATACAAGTCCTACATGTAAAAATAATTATTTTTATCCATTCATTTAACAAAAATGTAGTAAGTACCTACAATTGAGTTAGGCATGATGATAAATGTTGGGGACATTATCCTCAGTGTTGACTGACCTAATACCAATCTTTTACATAATAAGCATTCGATGGATTATTAACTGATGAAGTTTAGGTGTCCTATAAATGTTGATTGATTATTAATACAGCACTAAAAGATGATAAAGGAAAATAGAAAAATAATAATAACTAGGTTTACTGAGTGTTCAGCGTACGTCCAGCTCACTATTTTTTTTTATTTACAAAAACTCCATAAAATAGACACTATCCCATTTTACTTTAAAGATCAGTGAAAAAGAAGCTCATGGTCAAATAGCTAGTAGTAGGCAACAGTAAAATTTGAACATGGTTCTGTCAACCTCCAAAACCTATATTAATGTCATAGATAGGAGTACAAAGGGAGACTAATAGGAAAGGGAAGTATTACCCTCCGGAAAAATTCATTGTGAACCAGCCTCAGGAGTCCAACAGAGACCTCGGTCCCCTTTGCCAGCTGCCCAAGGTGGCACCTCACAACTTGACACCAAGTATTGCTGACATTCTACCAGAAAAGAAAGACAGATCAGGGCCCCAGAGGAGAAAGAACCCTCTTCTCACATATACCACCCACGCATGCATGAGCGCACTCATACACGCACATGCACGCACACACACACACACACACACACACACACACACACACCTCCATCACAGGTAACTGACTCTATTTGTACTCCTGCTCTGGTTACTCTCTTGTGACTCATACCAGCCTGTTTGTGTGCCGAAGCTCCTCTGGATGCACAGGGGGGCCTGGGGGCTTGGTCAGGTTCTGCACTGTGCAGCTTGCCTGCAGAGGAAGATTCACCCTCAAAGACCTGCTGCTAAGGGAGGCCAGGTGGAGCAGGGTACTTCCCACATTCTATGGTCTTTCTATGTAAAACCCCTTTCTTTCCTCTCAAAGGAGCCACACATGTAAAAGAAATGTCCCCAGGAAGTAGAGCTCTGAGGGTGCTGGGCCAACGGACAAGGAGCTGGTATGGTATCCAGCTTCAATGAGTCCACCAGCTCCAGATGACAGGATTCCGCAGGCTCCAGCCCAGACTCACATTGTTAGTGATGACTTGAGATAGTGACAGGAAGTAATTGCCTCCCTGGGCTACAGCTGGAAGAAGAGCTGAGATGATGAGGCCACTGACCACATAACAGCCAAGGTTCTGAACCTGAGAGGAAGATTGTAAACAAGAAGAGGTGGGAGACAGAAGACCCTTCCTCATTGGTTTCCCTTCACCCTAGACACCATTAAAATCCAAGAGAGTCTCTGACCGTCCTTTTCCCACAGTTTCCCTTTCCCACAGTTATTGTCCTCCCCACTCCCTGCCCCTGTYATGGCAAGGCCCCTCCAGCTTCTCACCCTAAGAGTAGTTTTGAATTCAGGGCCAGGACCCACTGGGAGGGTCCTATAGGGGTGAACCTCATAGCGGTGCAGGGTGGACTCACTGTGTGGACAAGTCAGGAGATACAAGGTCACCGCCAAGACAGACACAGGGGCACATGATCAGCACACAGGCATGGACTCAGAGAAATAGGGCCAGCACATGGATAAAGTGATGGGGGTATGTGGAGAATAGAGAAACGAAACATGACATAGATGCAAAACAAATTTTATAGCCACATCCCATATCCCCTCATCCCAGGGGAAATGCAAAGTCTTATACCTAGAAAAGTAAGATGCTTAAAAGAGAAATTTCCTTATGGGTGAGAGCGAGGACAAAAAGAATGAGTAGCCCCAAGGTTTTGTGTTTCTGGGAACACTGAAGCATGTGGAAGGAGAGGGAAGAAACATGAGTCTGGCATAGGAACTGAGTCCCAGCTAGGACCGGGCCATACCTAGAGAATAGGAGATGAGGCTCATACTGGATGTAGGCAGAGGTCTGGGCTGTGTTATCTTGAAGGGTCCCATTTGTTTCCAGGCTACTGCTGTAGGGTCAGAGGCGGGAGGAAGGGCTCACATCCCAATCCCTCCTCAGATATCCCTCCATGCTAGTAGAAGAGTCAGGGCTGTTCCTCTCCCCAACCCCCAACTCAATACCAAAAGAAGAGAGCTGGGAAGAAGTTCCCTTTGTTCTCACCTACTGGCATTCAACCTCACCAAGATCTGGCTCAGGAGTGAGGAGCAGCTAAACTCAAACTCAAGCAGAAAGGTCACCTGGGGGCAGGGGACATTGTTAAGGTACATTCTTCTTCAAAGAACAACAACGGAGGAACAGGAATTCTTGTGTACCTCCTCCCCTGACTTCCCAGACCCCACAGATTACAGTCTGTTTTTCCTGAACCCCTTCCTCAGCCTGGGCCCCAACTCACCTTGGCTCCAGTCTGGAAGACCGGATGCCCCACACTGCAGAGCCGGGCATTAGGGGAAGGAGCTGCACATTCCACCTTTACTGAGCTGTCCCTCTGAGGGCAGAGGAATAGGGGTGGAGGCTGGGCCTGGGCCTGCAACTGTTCCCCTACCCACAGCCTCCCTCTAGCCACTAACCACTGAACATTTCTCCAGAGCACCTCACAGTCAAAGCCAGTACCCCAATCTTCTTCCTCCTCCTTTCTCCCCTCCTCCCCTAACCCCTTCCTCCAAAGGYACCTGAGTAGTGAGACTGGCTAGGTGGAGGTTTCTAGAAAAGCTGAGACTCAGGCTAGTGTTGTAGGCATTTTCCTTCCTGTTTTCCAAAGTTGCTGATACCAGCACTTTCCTCCGGCCACCTCGAACCACAAATGGGGCCTTCCTGGGAGTGGTAGATAAGGGAGAGACCAGGAATTGAAGGAGCACCAAAATCTCACTTCTGTTATCCTTGTAAGAAACAAATCCCCAACTCCCTTTGAGTTCCTTCCCGTCTTTCTCAGATCACCCTGGTTTGCCCAGCTTATGTCTATCAACCTGGAGCCTCTGATGTCCATATTAGCTTGAAGCACCAGGTCTGTGATGCATTCATTGTCAGAGCCACAGTCTTTGGAGAAGGGGACCTGGAAGAGAGAAAAGGTCCTCAGGGATGAGAGGAAGGCAAGGAGAAAGGCATGTTCTTCGGGGAAAGCAGAAAGAGAAGAATGAATATACTTCCATTAGAGGGGTCTATGTCAGCTTTCAGCATAAAAATCTCATGTTTCCCCCTCCCCTTCCTCTTGAATTCACTGGGAGAGCAGTGTTGAGACCCAAGGGTAGGGCAGGGCTTGGCACTGCTAACCAATTTTCGTATAGAGGTGGGTGAACCTTCATCCAGCACAGGCCCTGGCTTTGTGGTGTTGTCCAAGGCAAAGGTCACAGTCAAGGCCACTGGCCGGAGATAATCTGATGTATCCTGAAGGAAACCAGAGTTAAGGATTATGGGAGCCAGAGTTAGGTATGAAACCCAGGCCCATGGAAGAATATGATAATTATAGTGATCATTTAGGAAGCACTTTCTGTGTGCTGGGTACTATCTTGAGGTTTTACCAATACTATTTTGTTTTGTTTTTGCAGTGCAAGGGCTTAAACCCAAGGTCTTGATAGTACTGGGTTCTACCACTGAGCTATATACTTAGGCCCTGATCAATACTCTTAAATTTGATTTTAATACAACTCATATGATATAGTTATTATTATCACCACTCTGCAGACAAGAAAACTGAGATTTGGAAGAGAGTGGCTTGCCAGAATTCATGGTAGTAAATGGTAGAGGAATCAAACACAGATTAACCTGATCCCAGAGCCTGAATTGTCTTACTTTCCCTGTTTCAGCTTTCTTGCTGATCCAGTTGAAATTCCTCCTCTGACCCAGCCTTTTCCTAGCTCTAAGGCATTAATGCAAAGTAGTTCCTGCCCCTTTCTCACCAACACATGAAAGTGCAGCTGCTCACAAGTGACATTCCCCACGCTGAGCTGGAGCTGCCGAGGGGGCATCCTCTGACCAGAGCCATCAAATGCTGCACGTGCCCCTACCATCCACTCATCTATTGTTGCTGTGAAGTGCACATCTAAATGAGAAGGGCAAAAGTGAGGGTAAAGAGGAGTTCAGAGACCAAGGCAGGCAAGGGTTGAAGTTTGCACTCACAGAATTGGTGATCCCAGCGTCCAGGTGTGCGGGAGGTCACTTGGAAGCAAAGGGCTGCAGTCAAGCATGCTGCTTCCTGGCCTCGCCGCCTACAGTCCCTCTGGACCACACTGATGGCAGGTGGGGTCACCTCCAGTGATGGGGCCAAGTAGACAATGGGCCGGGAGCTAGGAACAGGGTAGACACGAAATTTCAGAAAGAGGAGATAAGCCCTTTAAGAAGTGCCACCCAGTGTTTGCCTCCCCCTCATTAAAATAAAAATGTGGGGCTGGATGCACAGTGTCACCCTTCCCTGAACTCTATGACAGAAGTCACATGATAGATTCAATTCAATAAGCACTAACGGTGCTTAAAACTTAACATGGATGATCCCATGTGATCTTTACAATAAACCAAAAAGGCAGGCAGCATGCTTATCAACTAGGAATGGAGGCACAGAAAAAGTTGTTCCAGAAACCCAAATCTAAGCCCTTTATCTTAACAGATGTGCTGTGCTGTTCACCGCTCCTGAGTTGGGGCTCCTCACCTGAGCAGGATGGCTGCCCCCTGAGCACCCACAGCCACATCTACTAGATCATCTCCATCCAGATCTAGCCGGCCATCCACACTTCGGCCAAAGTAGCTAAGGGCCTGTGGCATGGTGACAGCAGCAATTCTCTAGGAGAAAGAGAGGGAGAAAGATTGAGGAAGGGACTCATACATCTGGTTTCTCAATCCTCCTGCCAAGTTCCTTCCTGTCCAATAGGGGAATAAGAGAAACTTGTCTGTGTTTAGCAGTCCCTTGGTTCAGAAACCTGCATCCCACTGCACTACCTCACTGTTTTACCTACTGATTAAGCACTTGTTTGGTTTGAGACTCAAGCAAGGAGACTACAGATAAGCAAAGAGCATACCTCCCTCGTGCTTATACCACTGTATCCCTGCTCATCTGGGCATTTCTGACCTGGGCAGGATGGGGCCTGACTCCTCTCTGGGTTCCATGGTACAGGTATAGTGCTCCCTGGTGCCCATCCTCCAGGGGTGCCCCTACAGCCACATCAGCAAATCCATCTTGGTTCAGATCAGGAAGAGCACCCATGGCAAAGCCAAACCGAGCATCCTGGGGAGGTTCTGGCTGAAGGATTCCTTGGAGTGTTAGCAAAGTCTGCTGGTGGAGATGAGAACAAGATAGAAGATAAAAATCTGGTTGCCCCAACCTCTCAGCAAACCCATCTATCCCCCAACCCTGATAAATCCCAGGGGGTCCCAGCAAGTCTCACCTGGCCCACCAGATACACATAAACACGTCCTGTCTCCTTGTTCTGGGGTCCCAGGAACATGGGGGCAGCCACAAGTAAAATATCAGTTGTCCCATCCCTATCTGTATCCAATGGGCAAAGCTCACTGCCAAAGTATGAACCAATCTGGAGAGTGGTAGGTAGTGATGACCCCAGAAAAAAGAGAGTGTGGATAAATGGACTCAGTGGGATGTACTCACCAGTCTGCCAATCTGGCTCTTATATTCCTGACATTCTGATAATCAGAATTTGGAGACATTTTTTTTTTCAGTAGTGGGGATTGAATTCTAGGGCCTTATGCACGCCAGGCAAGCACTGTACCACTGAGCCACGTCCCTAGCCTAGCATAGAATTTCTGGGCCTCTCTCCTGCCCTATCTCATTCTTTCCCATCAGTCTGGAAGTCCCTGAAGATCTAAGGGCCCCACCCTCACTTGATACTCTACCTGCTCCCCCTGGAGGCTCTGGGCGACCCTCACAGCCCCATCTTTCTTAAGTTGGAAGGCGATGACTTTTCCTCGATGTCTAAACCTAGGAGCCCCTGAGAGAAAGAGGCGGCGTCCACCCCGCAAAAGCATGGAGGAAACAGAGTAACCTAGAAGCAGGTAAGGCATCAGAGGTAGAAGGGAAAGAAGATGAGATCAGGGTGGGGCTCCCTAAGGGCACAAGAGGAGGCCCCAAGGGAACCAGAAAGAGACTCGGGAAGCTACATGAATTAAGAGAGAGCACCTCATACCCCACACTAGGAACGCATTCTTTCCTCCCACTCTCCCATTCCTGCAACTTCCTGCTACTCACCCAGGTAGGCTGCATGGTTCTGCAGAGGAGAGGGAAATTCATCTTCCAGGGCTGTTCTTGGGGGGAAAAGGCGATGACCTTCTTCAAGCCATAGCACTGAGCCTCCCCAGTCATAGGCCCCCACCATCCCAAAGAGAATCCCATCCTGTGGGGTTAGAACCAGAAGGGGTCACTGAAAAGACAGTGGGGAATAAGGAGTAAATAAAAAGAGAATCACTACAGGTCTGCTATAGTCACTTAGAAAGGCACTGAGGCTCAGCATGGAGGCTGGTTAGAGGAGGAGTCTAGAAGGGACAAGGGTTGAAGTTGTCTGAATCAGTAGCTGGAAGGAGTCATTGAGGAGGTCAGAGGCTGGGAGATGTCATGCAGGGGTCAGAGTCTGTCCAACCTTTAGTCGATGAGTGGAGAAACCAATCTGAGACATTTCCAGCCCAAAGGAACTTTCATTTTCTCCATGAGACCCTTGGACATGAGAAAATATCAATGCACTATCAAGGTAAGACAATTCTCTCTTTGACCTACTGAATTTACTCAACTATATTCCAGAATTCCCCCATTCTTTCCTTCGTTTCTCCAGGCTAATCATTACCCTCAAGGCCAAAAATTCGGTCTCCTAGTGCATCTACAATGTCAGTCAGTGCAGCCTCATCAGTAACATTGAAGAAGAATCGCTCGTCGGGATCACTGGCAATAGCTCGAATTTCCCGTAGGAAAGAGCTGGGATCTCGCTGACGCCGAAGGTAGTGACCAAGGACCTGAGGTCAGGAGATCAAGATGGCATCTATTAGATGTGTTAGAGCTCATAGAGAACATAGTCAACTAAAGTGAAGGAAGGGAAATGTGGCTGAAGTCCAGGAAGTAGATAATACCCCATTTTCTTCAAGTTCCTGGTCCTCAGAGTCTTCCCCTGCCAACCTTTCTAGATCCAGAGTCAATTCTCACCGCAATCCCATAGCGTGTCACTCTTCCAGCCTCACAGGCCTTTAGTGCTGCTGGAAGCTCCTCTCCATCATGTGATTCTCCATCAGTGACAACCACCAGTAGCCTGGCAGCCTCTGGTCGGCCTCCCCGGGATTGACTGAACCCTTCTGTGCTAAGAAGAGGGAGAAAAGAATGAAGTATGATCAGATATATCATACATACAGGATTTAACAATGTCAGCAGCTCACTGAGATCAATCATCTTGCCTTGTAGGCCATTTCCCAAAAGTAACTTTGGGATTAGCATACACTTAGAACTCAAATGTACAAATGCCATAGAATATACACATTCAGTTCAAATAAAGCACAAAATTTATCCAAAATATTGCATTTGGGAAGACAAATATTAAGGAAATGCAGAATAAAGAATGGTTGTAATCCCAATGGCTCAGGAGGCTGAGGCAGGAGGATCACAAGTTCAAGGTCAGCCTCGGCAATTTAGTAAAGCCCTAAGCAATTTAGTGAGACTGTGTCTCAAAAAGAGGGTTGGAATGTGGCTCAGTGGTTGAGTGACCCTGGGTTCAATCAGAAGGAGGAGGAGGAGGAGGAGGAGGGAGGAGGAGGAGGAGGAGGAGGAAGAGGAGGGGAAAGAATTGTCAGGTCAGGGGGGTCTTTCTAGAGATGAATTTTGAATCATGTTTGGGAAGAAGGGTAAGATATGAGTGGTGGAGAACCTGATCAAAGCTGGAGTGAAGATATACAGAGAGATAGAGTTCTGTCTGCAAAGATAGAGCAGAGACTTGGAGAGATACAGACATAAACACTTTGTAGAAATGCATCGAGAGCGAATATAATGACGGCCAACTTAGACTTCTTCCATGCATCACCCATATGCATATAAAAATAAGCTTGCAAGACATCTTGGGATATACACAATATATTCCAAACCCACTTGTAACCCTTCATTACTCTGCCTCCCCTTCACAATGCCTCACCAGGCCACCATTATTGCTTGGGCAGTCTTTGTTTCTCGTCCTTCCCGCCGGCTGAGGTTCCTGGCTGCTTTCACCACTTCTTCCTTGGTTCGGAAATCTCCCAGGGACCACTCATGTACAGGACTTTCTCCATACTGTACTAGTCCCACCTGAGAATAAAGTGTGTACCCAAATGAAATGTTTTGGGAGAGGAGAGAGGAGGGAGAGAAATACCTGATACTACTGAAGATACCACCTTGCCTCTATCTCTTTCCCTCCAAGCCCATCTATGTTGCCTTCTCTTACCTGAATCTGCTCTGGATCAATAAACAATCTTCCTACCAGCCTCCGCAGGAAAGTCTGAACTTCAGACCAGGGGTAGATGCTGTTGGAGCCATCCAAGACAATGACAACATCCATGTAGGTGGGGCAACCTAAGAGGAGGGGTATGGTGATAGGAAACAAATAGGTAGAGAAATACTGGGCTGGGGTCAACAAGGAGGACACAGGAGGTCACAGGAGGACACATTCAACTAAATATTTATTAGGTACCTTCTTATATGCAAGTAAAAAACTGTGCCAGGCCCTGGATAAGTTATAAATGACAAGAGAAGAGGCAGGAACATATACTATTTAGTTAAAAATGGAGGAAAGAAGATGCCAGGGAGAAACAAAGCACCACTTTGCTGTGAAGAGTGAAGAGGCCTTTTTTCATTCATACTCAGCACATGCACTTCCACTGAGCTACAGCTCGGGCCCCAGAGAGTGGATTCTGATTGAAAGTCAAATGGGGGAGCAGACAGGAAGGTAATGGGCTGGGGCTGTAGCTCCGTGGTAGAGTGCTTGCTTGCCTGGCCTACAAAAAGAAAAAGGAGAGGAGGAGGGGGAAAGGAAGAGGAAGAAGATATTTGAAGTTTAAAGATGTTTGAGGAGACGAGAATATAAAGAAAGGCATTTGAATAGAGAACACTTATAACAAGGGGAAACAGAGGTGCGTGAAGAGAGATGACACGTATAGAGTGGTGAGAAGAATGCTATGGTCAAGGCCCAGGGTATATGAAGGTATAAGTTGGGTTTTTGAAATTAGACCAGATCACCAAGTCTTTCTGCCTTGGTAAGGAATCCAACTCTAATCTGTTAGGAAACAAGGAGCTTTTGCAGGTACATTAAGTAGCAATGAGGATGGCCAAGCAGACCCTCTGCCAGACATCAGAGCTTTTTGCCCCATCTTTCTCCCACCCAGCTTCTCTTTCTGGGAACTGAGTCTTTAGGCTTTTCCTCCAGCTCACGTTGGGCAGTGGGTGCCAGGCTTCCCTGGGGCTGGAATGAAGCATCCACACGAGCACATATTCCAGAACTGAAGACAGAGCTGCCACAAGCACGAGACCAGAGAGGGGCACAGGCCTGGGGACAGACGGGAAACAGTTACTCCCATGTTTGAAGAGTACCCTCAGAACATGCTCCCACACACTGAGACTACTCCCTGGGAGGCCCTACCTTTCTTTCTAGCTTTAACTCCTTGACCCCTCCACATAGACTAGTTTCCCTTACCCCAATTTTCTTTTTGTTTTCTACCACAAACCTTCGGAGACCCTGCCACCATCCTTTCCTTAGCTCACCATGAATCCCCCATCATCATCTGTCTCTAACAGAGACATGCCCAGGTGCATATTCACAGCAGGATGAGATGAGTTTCCCAGTGGATAATCACCTGGTTGGAGGGGAGTGGAAGAGAATGAGATCATGAGGTCACAGATGGCATGACTGAGTTCAAGGTGGCTTTAGAAGAGAATGTGAAGGGGAGAGGGCATGTGTGGATTATGGAGGTGAAGAAGCTAACAAGGGGTCAAAGATACTAGGGTATCAAAGGGTTAGGAGGGGAAGGGTCAGGCATCTTCTTACCCAAGTGGCCCTTGGCACATGGGGCATTGTGGGGCCCCCCTACAGGGCAGCGATAAACGTCTCCCCTCCGGTCACCTGAAGGCCCATCCCAAGGAGCGCCCACCAGCATCCTGGGAGGAGGATGTGAGTAAGCATAGGGTGAACATGACCCTTATCAGGGGTCAGAGGGAAAGTACATGGAGGTGGCAAGTTTAGAGCCCCAGTCACTTTGCAAAAACCAGACGAACGTGGAATCCCATCTATTTTGCCTCCCCTTTATTGGCACCATCACGGTCCCAATCCCCTCGCTCTCTGGTTTCCTCCTCACCATCTCTGTCCACCCCCAATGTGTTGTAAGACACTGTATCCAAATTCAGCCTCTGGTGGCCCTGCGAATAGGCGTGGGTGATGCACATCCAGATTAAAGGGGGAGCAGAGACCTGTCGGGCCAGGATCATAGGATTAACATGAAATGGTCAGTCATGCCTGGGATGCACAGCCAGAGAGAAACCATGAGGTAGCATCTGAATCTCAATCTTTCTGCCTTCTTCTTACTCGTAAGCTCTCCTGGACTCTATCAATGTCATAGATTCAGAATCTCCAAAAGAATGATCCCTTCCCGTGTTTGGGTCCTGTGGCTCTCGGCCATGATGATGTACAACTGTATTTCCATTTCCACTCCTGAAATCTCATTCACAGATGTGTCTGGAAAGGTCAGATTACTCTTTTTCACATCATTCCTCCTACACATCTTCCTCTGCAAACTATGAGAGTCAAGAGGGAGAGGACCTTTCTACAACCCCAGAACAACCATTTCTTCCAAATTCCCCCAAAACTCAGGACCACAGGCAGAACAAAAGCAATATAAAGTGCATTGTGTCTGGGTCTCTCCTCTCTCTCTTTTTGACTCCCAGTGACATTGTCACACTCTCACTCTTTCTCCAATGTCTAGGTTGCTGGTGGTTCCAACCCTGGAAACCTCAATGGTAATTAACTGGGTGGGGCCACCCGCTTGCCCACACAGTTTGCCATCCATCCTTGCCAACGGACCCATTACCCCAAAGTTTCCCTTGATCTGCTTTCTTTTTATCTCATTCAACTGCCCCTTGCCTGCCTCCATGGTTTCCTCAAACTTCAACACACTCTAAAGGCCCCAATCATGTCCTTGCTGACTCTTTCCTTCTGACCCCAATTCCTTTAAAATCAGAGCTTGTATTTTAGGAAACAAAGATTATAGGGTACCATCAAGGAAAAATCCAGTTCTCTCATCCCTCCCATGTTGCTCTTCCCAACTGTGCTTACTCCTTACTTTCAAGCAACCCCCTCCCAGGCTACCCCACCACCAACACTACCAGTGACTACAGACAGTTTTAACCCAAACCATGCTTACTTTCAGAAAGCTGTTTTGTATGTGAACCTTTTGCACCCAGGAAATTGGCAGGGCTGTATGATCAGGGACTATGGATCATTGATTAGAAAAACCCAGAGTTCTGACCACATAGTAAGGCAGTTATGTCTCAAGCCCCGTGTACTACCAAGCGTAGGGAGAAGGAGGGAGGGAAGGAAATAATAGGAATCAGACTAGCCACGTGAAAGGTCACGTCATGTTGCTTTTCTGTCTCCTGACTCCCACAGGGTTAAGGAAAGGTTTTAGATAATTAAGTACAAATCTTAGGCAAGGCCCTGGTCAACTTCAGCCTCTGCTAATCTCAATATCAAAGCAGTCGCCTGTGGGAATACACATGGAATACTGAATCCTATTAACCTCCTACCCTAACTCCCAAAGAACTTTTATACCCCAATTGACCCAATTTCACACAATTCATACATCTTTCATTCCCACCAGAAACCAAGAAGTTAACATCCCTCACCTGACAGGAACATCAGGGGCAAGAACAGGTGAGGGAAGAGGGGGAGCTCCATGCCTGGTTGTTCTGTCCTGTGTCAGAAGTCCTCTGTGCTTCTGACTTTCTCCTTTTCTGCTACTTTCCCTCCTATCCTGCCCCCTCCCACTGGTAGCTAAAAATAAAGTTGGAAGGAATGGGAGGAGTGATGGGGGGAAACTGTGGGGAGCCCCAGACCAAGGAGGTATAAGTGATCTTGGTTTATTTCTCTATCTTGGTGCTGCCCCCTGGAGGCCTCCTTCCAATATCCAAAGAGAAAACAATTTTTGACCATTTCTGCCACTTCTCTTTTATTCTACTCCTTTTATTTGTTGACAGGTCAACAACGCTTTCTTCAGATTTAGAACAGGAAGCAGGGGTGGGAGACAGATTATTTTTATCCCTTATTTATCTCAACCTAGGATATGCAACACAAAAGAGAAGTGGTACCATTTACCCACCCACCCCGGAGAGTCCGTCCCAGTGTGTGAAGGGACAGCCCCCAAATCAAGTCTTACCAATCTCACTCCACTTAGTTCTGTTCATGGATTTTTAGCCTGTGCTGCCTTGTAGGGCTATAGTTTTTGGAGGGACTATAACTATGAACTGGTAATGATGTGTGTTTTGTGGAGCCAGAGTAATTACTTTAGCTAAGACCACTTCTCCCCCAACTCTTCAACTAAGCTATAAACATCTCAAAGAACTGTGGCACTACGGAGCTTCTTAGCTTTTGACATGTTCACTACCCAGTATTTTGCCCTGCATACTATAGGTGCTCAATAAAAATATGTGGGTAGTGATGGTAGTAGCCAATTCCATGGAAAATCCAAACCACAGTGACAGGAATAGGGGCCATTGAGTGACCAGAACATGAGGGAGCAGACCAAATGTCAATGAGCAAACTGATCTTTAATTTGCTGACCTGGAAGGCTTGCTCTTCACTGTGGGCATGGGCAATGGCTATTTACAAAGATCATTGTACAGTATTTACAACAAGATGCTAGACACAGCATCCATATGGATAGGCAAAGAAGGGGTAAGACCCAGCTGGGGAACATAACTCTGAAATCAAGTGCAAGCAGAAATCTGAAGGTGTGGATACAGAGAAGAGTAAGGGCCAAATCATAATGGAGGTTGGTGAGGTAGATACGAGGGAGGAAGAAAAATTATCAACCTGTGGTACAGAGATAGGAGAAAACACTGGAACATAAAAATTATGACTTTGAGTTAAAAGGAGAAAACCTGCCATAAGCTACCTCTCCGAGAATAAAAAGGCAGTTAGAACCTTTCAAACCAAATCTTAAACTTCTCCTACCAAAAAGCAATCCCATTTTAAATTTCTGGACAGAGGTCTGAGAAGGTAAAAAAGATACACAGAGATAGACTCTTGTCTTAAGATTGATAATAGATAGACTCTTGTCTTAAGATTGATAAATTACATCAAGAGACACAGACAATGAAAAAATAAAAGAATAAAACCTCAGGCATAGCTGTGTATTAGAATCATTCTATTGGCAATTCATCTGTCCTCACCTCATCTTCCCCAAAGTTCCTTCCTTCACCCCCAAATCTCTGGATTTTAACTTCAATTAAGGAGTAGAATTTGAATGAGGATGGTACAGGTGGGGGGGATGCAATCTAAAATTCCACCTCACTAGTTTAGTTCCCCTCCTTATCCTGTACCAGAACATCAGGGCTTGAGTCGTAGCCAGGGGCAGATTAGGGTGAGAATAGACAGGATGGAGGACACAAGACCACAAAGCCCCACAACCCCAGGGCCACAACGCCAGAGGCCTAATTTGTCCAGTGGAATGAAGAGATCGCAGGCATTTCTGACCACATCCAGCAGAAGAGGGGGATGCCCACGAAGGACCCGAGCCAGGAGCAGGAYTCGGAGCCGAAGCTTCAGAGCCAGTTGGGGCAGGCCTCCTCCTGGAGTCCCTGGGCCCCCAGGTCCCCCAGGTTCAATTCCTCCTGGGACTCCTCCTCCTCCAGAACCCTTCATTCGCCGGCTACCAGCTGAAGACTCTTGTTCCATCAGTAAGCGAATCTCATAAGCATCACGGCTCAAATTCATGATGAGAGAAAACAGATAGTACCTGAGATACACAGGGAAGAAGGTTAGAAGGGCATGCATACCTACCTAACATGTCCAACGTACAAACATTTACTTTTCATGTAGAGCAAAGGGATTATACATTAGAATATCAGAAGTGAATATTATAATCTACTATTAGAAATGTCCTTCCTTCAGGATATTATGCTGATTGAAATAAGCTAGACACAGAAAGATAAATACACATGATTTCACATACATGTGGATACTAAATAGTCTAATTCATAGAAGCACAGAATCGAATGACAGTTGCTAGAGGTTTAGGGGTAGAGGAAATGGGAAGATGTTTGTCAAAGAGTATAGCGTTTCCTTTATGCAAGCTGAGTAAATTCTGGAGCTCTAACATCTAGCATGGCAACTATAGTTAACAATATTGTTTTATATATTTAAAATTTGTTAAGAAGGTTTATTTTTCCTTTTTGATACTGGGAATTGAACCCAGAGGAGTTTTAACACTGAGCTACATCCCCAGCTATTTTAATTTTTTATTTTGAGACAGGGTCTTTCTTTGCCAAGGCTGGCCTCAAACTTGTGCTGTTCCTACCTCAGCCTCCTGAGTTGTTGGGATTACAGGCATGTACCACCATGCCCAACTAAGAAAGTAGATCTTAAGTGTTTTCACTATTGGAAAAAAAAAGGTTACTATGAGATAATGAAGAATATGTTAACTAGCCTATTGTGGTGATCATTTCATAAGGTACACATACCAAACATCACACTGTACACCTTAAATGTATACAACTTACATTTGTCAAGTATATCGCAGTAAGAATAAGAAAAGAAAAAGTCCCCCTACCTTTCTGTAACCAGTATGTGTTTGTGTGCACCTTAAGATTCAGTCTTAAAATTCATTATCATGAAATCTTTAAAGGTCAACCTAAAATTACACTTTTGAGGCAACCCCTTCGCCTATACTATATTCAACTTTTGTCCCATAATAATGCAAACTTAGGCTGGGCGCAGTGACACATGCCTGTAATCCCAGTGGCTCAGGAGGCTGAGGCAGGAGGATAATGAGTTTAAAACCAGCCTCAGCAATTCAGTGAGGCTCTAAGCACTCAGCAAGACCTTATTTCTAAATATAAAAAAGGGTTGGGAAGGGGGCTGGGATTGTGGCTCAGCGGTAGAGCATCCCCCTAGCACGGGCGGGACCCAGGTTCGATCCTCAGCACCTCATAAAAATAAAGGCATTGTGTTTTATCCATCTACACCTAAAAAATAAATATTAAAAAAAAGGTTGGGAATATTGCTCAGTGGTTAAGCCCACTGAGTTCAATCCCTGGTATGTATGTATGTATGTATGTATAAATAAATAAAGCAAGCAAGCAAGCAACAAACTTGTTTTCAAAGAACAAACTTTAGTTACTGGAGAGACACATACATATTATAGATCAGCTAAACCCAGTTATTTTTTTTTTTAAAAAATGTTTAAAAAGAGGCCTAAAGGTTTTAAGTAATTGCCAAATGTGTTAAGATCATAAATTCCTTAAGTACAAAATTTGTTTTTGATTGTTAACCCACTCTGACAACATTGGTCTGTACTCAACAAATCATCCTACCTCCAAAATATATCCTGAATCTAATAACTCTGCTTTAATCTTTTGACTAGTCTCTCTATAGCCATTTGCCCCACAACAATTTCATTTCATAAAGTAGTTAGCATAAATATAAATCACATCACTACTCCTGTTCTTAAAACGTTCCACAATTTCCTTCCTATCACATTTACAATAAAATTTAGATGCCTTAAACAGGCTTCCAGACTCAACATATCTGGCCTCTGCCTCTCTTGAACCATTCTTTCCTCAATCACTATGTTCCAACAATGTTGGTTTCCTTCTATATTTCGATCCCATCCAGATTGTTCCCGTCTTAGTGCCTTTGTATTATCTACTTCCTGTACCTGGAATCTTCTCTCTTGAAAAACTTCACATGGCTGGCTCATTTTTGCTCTTCGGGTCTGAGCGTAAACGTTCCGTCTTCAGAGAGGGTTTCCTTGACCTTCAGTCTAAAGCAGTGAGCCATTTACTATCTACCACATGATTCTATTTCAATTTTCTTCAGAACACTTGCCATTATCTGATATTCTTCTTATTGTCTGATCTGTCTCCCTCATTACACTGTACGTTCCATAGGAAGGAGGACCTTGTTTGTCTTTAACCACTATATCCCTGTTTCTAGACCAGTGCATGCAATATAATATGAGCTTAATAAATATTTGTTGAATAAAATGAATAAATATAGCATATATACTCTTCTAGGGAGTTGCCTTTCAATACCACTCCAGTCATGTCTCCACTCTCACCATCATAAACCATTTTGGAGTTGTGACTCACTGAGAAAGATTAAAAGCAAGGCGGAAATGGAGATGGAAAGATGCTGATATAATGAATAAGAAAAGAAAAAGTCCCCCTACAAAAGACAAATAGAGATGATATGTACAGTTATCCTTCAGAATCTGAAGGGAATTTGTTCTTGAACCCTTATCCCTACAGATATCAAAATCTGCACAAGTTTAAGTTTCTTATGTAAAATATATGCATAGTATTTGCGTATAACCTGTGCACAATCTCTTGTACACTTTAAATCATCTCTAGATTCATTATAATACCTACACAATGCAAATTCTATACAAATAATTATTATACTATATTGAGGAACAATGGCAAGGAAAAAAGTGCATACATGTTCAAAACAGATGCAATTTTTTCCCCTAATATTTTTTGATCTGTGGTTCGCTGAATCTGTAGATGGGGAATCAACTGTAACAGGAAGAATTTTTTTTTTTTTTTTTTGGTACCAGGGATTTAACCCAGGGGCACTTAACCAATTTTATTCTCAAATCATATTTCACTTCACCCACTTAGTCCATGCCAATATAATTTCTTGCCCACAATTGATCATCTCCTCCCCTTTGGTTTACTATAATCCATTTTCCACATCACAGCAAGATAGGTGTTCTTGGCCAGGCATGATGGTATATGCCTGTAATCCTGATTGCTTGGGAGACTGAAGCAGGAGAATTGCAAGTTCAAAGCCAGCTTCAGCAACTTAGTAAGGCCCTAAGCAACTCAGAGAGACTTGTCTCAAAATAAAAAATAAAAAAGGGTTGGGGATGTGGCTCAGTGGGTTAAATCCCTGGTAACAACAACAAAATGTTCTTTAAATACAATTCAAGTCATGCCAAATCCCTTTTTTGAATCCTTCAATATGTATGTAGGATAAAATTTAAACAATAACAACAACAACAAAAATCTTACCTCAAAGGCTCTGAATAAGACTGGCTCTTATCTCTCAACTTGAATTTATGCCCTTTACTCAATACTATTCATCATTTAGCTTTTTATTATTTACTACATATGCAATTTTCTGTTTGGAAAGACCTTTTTTGTTGTTTCTTTTGTCTAACTACTATTCAGACTTCAAGTTTGAACTAAAATATTACTTTCTCAAATAATTCTTCCCTGATCCTTGAATCTAAATCAGCTCCCCTTGATACATTCTCTCATAACACCCTGTACTTTTCCATAAATATAGGTGAGTGGTTGTTTTAATATGGCTCTCCCATTAGATGGGAAACTTCATGGGAATTGGTACTACATCATGGAAGAGCATGTGTCTTCCATGTGCCCACATTTATTTTTCTCTGACAGTTTAGGATCTAAATGAAGATTTGAAATCAAGTGATTAAGACACATATAACTGTCTTTGGTATATAGTTTCCCTTTGGGGAATTGGTTCAGGACACTCCTTGGATACCTAAATCCTACCAAAACTCCACAAATGCTCAAGTCCCGTTCATAAGTTGGCATATTATTTTTGTTTTGTTTTGTTAATTTTTAGTTATAAATGATGTACTTTGGGGCTGGGGATGTGGCTCAAGTGGTAGAGTGCCTGGCATGCCTGCGGCCTGGGTTCAATCCTCAGCACCACATACAAACAAAGATGTTGTGTCCACCGAAAACTAAAAAAATAAGTATTAAAAATTCTCTCTCTCTCTTAAAAAAATGATATATTTTGACACATCATACATACATGGAGTATAACTTCCAAGTATTGTAGTTATATATGATATGGAGTTACAATGGTCATGTATTCATATACAAACATAGGAAAGTTATGTCTGATTCATTCTACTGTCTTTCCCAGTCCCTTCTCCCTTCCTTTCCCCTGTTCCTCCATTAAACTGGCATAGTATTTGCATATAACCTACACATATCCTCTCATATACTTTAAATCAACTCTAGATCATTCTCTAATACTTACTACAATGTATATGCTATGTAAAGAGATGCTGTACTATATTATTTAAGAAATAATGACAAAAAGACTGTTCAATACAGATGCATTTTCAATCTGTGGTTGGTTGAATTTGTGGAACCCATGGATATGGAGGGACAACTGTGCTCTGGGAAGATCCTGAGAGATTTTTTTCTCTTAAAAGGCAAGCTATGTAGTATGGAGGCTACCAAAGGTATTTCAAGAAAAAAGGGTAACAAACCTGAATGAACGCTGGGCCCACTTTTCCTGATCCACATGGGGAGCTAGTCCAGACTTTCCAGCCCATAGGACGTTGTCACAGGCAAAGTACAAGGCTCGATTGAGGTGACTAACCGTGATGCAGAATCTCAGGACAACGTCTGACAGGTGCACAGCTCTTTTGGCTGATTCAAGGGCGTCTGCTGAGTTGCCCAAGCGCAGAACTTGTGGAGAGAACAAGGGAACACAAGGATTTGGAAGTAGAGTCAGAAACAAAACACACAACAAAGAGAGGTGAAAGTTGAACAAGTGATAGTAACAACGATTTCTAAAAAGAGCAGAGTAGTTCATTATTCTTTACTTCAAATTTTAGTCCTAGTTTTTTCAAGTTTGCTCTATTCTCTCCAACCCTCCCTTACTTCCTTATGCCTGCCCTCATCTCAGTTGGACACATTCAGAGAATAAGTGCAAAGTCAAACGAGGGAGAAGTGGTAAAAAACAGGAGCGGGTCAGGGGGAGAGCAGGTGAGGGTGGAGGCTGGGCTCACTCACGCTTCCTTCCGAGGCTCAGATGGCCCTCCAGTTGTCGGATCTGTTTCTGTAACTCGGGGCTGGCCCCGTGTCTCTGCAGTGCATGGCCGAGGAGCGAGCAAGCGTACTGGGCGGCCCTGGGGGAGAGGCCAAGTGAGGGGGGACCCTCCCTCCCCTCCCCTCGAAGCCTCTCCAAAAACCCAGGCTGGACTGCGGCCCGCTCCTCCTCCGTCCCTCCAGGCAGGGGAGGGAGAGGCTGAGCGGTCAGAGGAGCCCACCAGGGTGGGGAAGGATTGTCTAGAGCGTGAGGTCTCGGGCACTGACGGCCCGGAGCGCCCGGAGGCGCCGGTCCCGGCGACACGTCCGCCCGCTGTGCACACACGACGCAGAGGGGCAGAAACTGGACAGCCAGTCTCACAGGTGACTAAGACAGGTCAGGCTCGGGGCGGGGACCCCGAGGGAGCGGGGCCGAGGCCCTCAGGTGACTGCACGGTGGGGCACCGGGAAACGGGCAAAAGCCCGGTCGCTGTCCACCGCGGGTGGACGCTCCGCGTCCCCCCAGGGCCTAGTGGGCAAACTGTTGATCACCTGTGGAAACCACCCCCCCGGCGGCCGCCCCGCGGCCCACGCGTGCCTCAGTTTCCCCATCTTTCCTGTGAGTCGGAGAAGAATCATCTCCTCACAACCAGCTCAAGTCTGTGCCTCTCTGTCCGTCCGGGCCCCCGTAGCCGGAGTTGACCCTCTGGGACCCCCGTACCTGCAGTGACCCCCGCCTCACGATAAGGTTCTTCTGCCCACCCTTCCCTATTCCTGTTTTGGCCGCACCTACACAGCCGCTCCCGGGCCTGGCTCTGAGCACTGAAGCGGACCCAGGCGTCCATGACAGCGGCAGCCCCGCCTCCACTGTCCTCTCCCGCCCTCCTCCCAGCGCCCAGTCACGCCTCCTGGGCGATCCAACGGCGCCTCGCGAGGGACACACAGCAACAGCGAGAAAGCGAATGAGCCGGCCCGGGAACGGAATTTCAGGACGCCAGCGTTGATCTCGTGGCCTGCACTTCCGTGTTGTGGTGCTTCTCGGTCAGCGGACCCCTTCTGGGGTGGTCTCTATCCCTGAAACTCGCCTCCAGCAGCACTCCGAGATCTAAATATTCAGGACCATGGCCGGGGCCTGGAGGCGCGGAGGCGGGACGGGAAAGGCGCCGCAGCGTGCACGCCCCGGCCGCGGGATGGAAGTCGCGGCGGGCGGACTCCGCGGACCGCCCCAGGCGCGCACACTCCCGCGTGCACGCGACGCTGCGGCCGCGTCCAGTCGTCTAGGCGCTACCGAGGTCTCGGCAGTACGAGGTCCCGACTGATCGAACTGTCCCCGCGGGAAAGGGCGCGACTAGCACCAGATTCTTGGTGTCCTCCAGAACAGATAGAGCGTCTCAAGGGACCGAGCCTTTAGTGGACGACATCCGCCATAGCCCTCGTCAGGTCCTGAAAAGGCGAGCGAAGAATCAGCCAGCGACCAGAGCTCACTGCTGCAGACCCCACGTCCTCCTCCCCAGCCTTCCCTTCCAGGCCACCATGTCTGCTGGCAATGGCACCCCTCGCGGGTCTGCAGTGGGGGAGGAGATATGGGCGGGATCAGGAGTGGAGCTGGAAGACTCCGAGCTGCCCACTTTCTCAGCTGCAGCCAAGGTCCGAGTGGGGGTGACCGTGGTGCTCTTCGTTTCTTCAGCTGGCGGTAACTTGGCCGTGCTGTGGTCTGTGACACGGCGGCAATCCAGCCAGCGCCGACCCTCTCCCGTCCGGCGACTCTTCGCCCATTTGGCAGCTGCCGACTTGCTGGTCACTTTTGTGGTTATGCCCCTAGATGCTACCTGGAATATTACTGTTCAGTGGCTGGCTGGGGACATCGCATGTCGGACACTTATGTTCCTGAAACTAATGGCCATGTATGCTGCAGCTTTCCTGCCTGTGGTCATAGGACTTGACCGCCAGGCAGCAGTACTCAACCCGCTTGGACCCCGCTCAGGTGCGAAGAGACTTCTGGGGATAGCCTGGGGACTTAGTTTCCTGCTTGCCTTGCCCCAGGTGAGTGACTTGGGAATTTGGGCTGGGCCGGAGGAGAATTTGATTACGTTGTGTGAGCCTTGGGTGTCAAAAAAGAGTTCCATTGGCCACATTAGCCTTTAATCTTCCTTGGGGGTGCCTCTTATCTCTTGGGCAAGTTAAGACCGTTTGCATGTTAATTTACATCTGGTAAAAGCCTACTTTTGAAAAGCACTACCCCATTATAGGGGCCTCTTCCTTTAGGTTTGCTTTACTGAGCATGGCTTCCACCTCTGTGCAGCTTACCGTTTCCACCTTCTTCAGGAGATTGGTGCGGAAAAACTCTAAAGGCAGGGAGGAAACATGGGAATCTACTCAGAGGAGGGAAGTCAGGGGCTTTGGGTAAAACTTGGAGGTATTCATTCACAGATTCAAAAAAAAATACATGTCATCTCTTGATACTCAAATGCTAAGGATATAGCAACAAAAGTTCTGTCTTCAGAAAACTTATAACCCGATGTGATAGAACATGCTTGTAATCCCAGTGACTCAGGAGGTAGAGGCAGGAGGATCAGAATTTCAAGGCCAGCCTCAGCAATTTAGCAAGACCCTGGCTCAAATTAAAAGAAATAAAAGCGGGCTGGGGATGTGGCTCAAGCAGTAGTGCGCTCGCCTGGCATGTGCGCGGCGATCCTCAGCACCACATACAAATAAAGATGTTGTGTCCACCAAAAACTAAACTTTAAAAATTAAAAAAAAAAAAGAAATAAAAGCACTGGGAATATAGCTCAGTGGTAAAGCCCCAGGGTTCAATCCTCAGGACCAAAAAGATAGATAGATAGATAGATAGATAGATAGATAGATA